ATGGGCGTCCAAAACAAGCTGCTTGGAAGGCTGCCCATGCGCACCGAGAGCCAGCGACAGCACCTTGGTAGCGGTGGCCACAAAGAGCTGGTTGGCCCCGCCAAAGGCCAGTGCATTCACTGACCCGGACTCCAAGGGCACCACGGTCTGACGGCTCTGCTGCCGCATCACATCCCCACGATACAGCAGCAAGCGGCCATCTTCCAGGCCAACGGCCATCAGCGTCAGCCGTTCATCCACAGAAAGTGACTTGGCCTGCCGGGAGAATGCCTCAGTGAACAGAGTGCTGACTCGGAAGTAATAGAGGTGAAGGGCTACCGTAAAGCACAAAATTTCACTAAATTTATTAGTCGGTGTTATAAACTAACAAAGAAATAATATGATTTGTTTCCTTACTTTCTATAGTATTCTATTATTACACATGAATTTGTGGCTGCCAAGTTCAGAGAATTATACTGCAACCTCCCGCACAGAAGCAGACCACTTAAGCCGCAGCAGTGAATTAATGTACAATAGTATGCGCCCCGGCCCCCTTTTTTAAGCACAGTTACAATAAATACAGAAAATGAACAAGCACCAAGTAAGTCACCTGGAGTGGTGTTACTTAACACGGTGTTATGAAAGTGAATTTTTGAGAGAATGAGGAGTTGCATTCATCACATTGCAGAGCATCACATTGCATGCCAATGTGATGCTCTCATAACTGTCACATACAAACACGCCAAACATTGAGCAGAGCTACAGACAGCTAAATGGGTTGATGTGTGATTCAGCAGTGGAAACAACTCACCGGTGAGGGTGAAGTACCAGCTGCAGCTCGAACAATTCGACAGCAGTGGGGCACACCATGCTTGTCGACCTACGCAAGGACATAAAATAAAAAACTGCAGTGTGGCATACGAACTGCACATCTTCTAATCCGTATTATTAAAGTTCCGCGAGTAGGAAATGAGCAGGATTAATGGGCAGAGAAAAAACATTGCGAAGGTAGAGCCCTTTCGCACGGTATACACTCAAAGATGCCACAGTGCGGGCAGGAATGGAAGCTCTACAGCGCCGACCTTACCTTGTCCTGGTTCCACACTTTAACCAGAGGGTTAACGCCGCTTTCGTCTGCCTGCACAACAGCGTCGCCTGTAATCAGCTGAGGTTGAGGGGCAAAGTGAGAGGGCACTCACTCCGAGCGTGACGAGCAGCGCGTGGTTGCGCATTTGCTGAATCAATTCGACTGTTCAGTTCGTAGGCGCGGAATGTGTTCAGCTGGAGCTGTCGGCTCACGCACACTACATGACCGCCGACCTCCCCCAACACCAGCTGGCCTCGGCCGCTTGCGCTGCATGTTACGTTCAGCTCCTGCGAATGACTCCCGATTCATTTACATTCGCAGGAACGTCAACTGCTGCGCTTACCTGAAGCTTGTCGAACGCCTTGTCACCATCACGCACCACCTCCTTGTCGAAGAAATTGAATCTGCGCCACTGCGATGGGCCGTATCACTCATCAGTCGGTCACTGACATGGATCACCACTTACCTGCTTGAACGCCATTTCTCCTGGCTGAGCTATGCACTAAGCGGCTATTTCGTCATCCATTCACTCGGGATACCAGCCTGTTGACAGGCTGGGCCATATATATGATGAATGAATGAATGAATAAGGTGCACCACAGAACACCTATATACACTCAGCACCGCGGTGCAGCGAACAAACACCTAGCACGTACCAAGCTCCCTTTGCGTGGCCTCGGAGATGCTAAAACTTATCTATGCCATGTTCTCTGTCTACGCTCAAAAGCGTTATGTCATCTTTAGTTCATTACATCATGGTTCACTAGAGGCTACGGGGACTGAATCGGTCACACATTTTTCTTAATTTTAACACAGAACACCTACTCACTAGAGGACGCCCACAGAGGCAACGCCTCCTAAAAAAATTAGCCTGGAACGTGAGCCGCAAACCAACACCCTCTAGACTAGTCTAGACGGTGTTATGGTGGCTTCTTCTAGCCACCATAACGGTGTTGCGCGAACGCGCTGCTCTAGCCTCTGATTTTACCATAGAGTTTCCTATGGATTTTACCCTCCTCTTTCGGTACGAAGGTAGAGTGTATAGAGCTTCTAGTACAGTCGAACAAAGGCGAACGTCTCTGACCTCGACCTCTCAATGGCAGTGTGGATGGATGGATGGATAGATATGGCTCTACCCTTTAGATCGAGTGACGGCTGACGCTACCTAGCCGTTATTGTTAGTTAACTAACCACTTGATTTATCTTTTTTCCCTTTAAATAGTGAAGTTGAGGACTGGTACTTTGAAGTGAAAGATTTAATTTTCACTCGTGAATTAACTCTAGCACCAATCAGATAACCTTCTTCTAGTTAATTCTACCCGCTTAAAGTCTACTTTGCCCTCCCTGTCCCCAAACCCCAGTGCTTTGAAAAACTCTACGCCGTCATCCTGAATTATAGGGTGAAGCCCTTTACAGAACATTATCGAGTATTCGGCAGTTTCCTCCTCCTCTCCACATGCACTGCATACCGTGTCTACCCCTTCGTATTTGGCCCGATATGTCTTGGTTTGCAACATTCTCGTGAGCTCCTAAGGCAAGCCTACCCATTCCACGTTGCTTAATTTCTAATCTTGCTTGAACTTCTGATCTCATGCACAAGACCGCATTGCCGAAGGTCAGACCAGGAACTATGACCCCTTTCCATATTCCTCTCACAACATCATACCTACTGTAATTCCACAGTGCCATGTTTTTCATTACCACTGCATTCCTGTTACCTTTAGTCGACACGTATATTTCGTGTTCCCCTAGGTACTCGGCCCCATTGCTTATCCATACACCCAGATATTTGTATTTATCTGTTATCTCTAGCGTGACCTCCTGTATTCAAAGCTCACTACCTTCGTTATCATTAAAAATCATGACTGCTGATTTTTCCTTATTGAATCTGAAATCTAACCTATCTCCCTCATTACCGCAGATGTCCACCAGTCTCTGCAAATCTCCCTTGTTGTCGGCCATTAGCACTATATCATCTGCGTACATCAATTCTAGCTGGTAGTGCCTGTTCAATGAGTTTTCCTTGTTTGACGAAAGGGAGGTTGAAGCCCAGTCCACTTCCCTCTAATTTGGCCTCTAATCCTTGTAGGTACATCATGAACAATAAGGGTGGCAGAGGACACCCCTGCCTAAGTCCCCGTTTTACTTCTGTAGGCTTGGATACCTGTTTTTCTCACTTTATAACTGCCTTGTTACCTTCACAGATATCCTTTAAAAGATTAGTGACTCCATTTTCCACACCTAGTGTGTCCAGTATTCCCCACAAGTGATATTGAACCACGCTATCGTATGCTCCCTTGATATCTAAAAATGCTAGCCACAGGGGCCCGTGTTCCTTTTCTGCTATTTCGATGCACTGCGTCAGTGAGAACAGATTGTCTTCCAACCTCCTGCGTTTCCGAAACCCATTCTGCAGTTCCCCCAGCCCACCCTCATCCTCTATCCATGCCTGCAGTCTTTCCTTTATAATCTGCATCGCCAGCCTGTAGACCACTGATGTCACAAGTACTGTTATAGGACGGTTTATGTCAGCTTTGTCCCACTTTCCTTTATAGATCATGCTCATCCTGCTAAGTTTTCGTCCATCGGGAACTTCTCCATCGATTATTATTTTGCTCACTGCCTCTCTCAAAGCCTACTTAGACTTCGGACCTAATGTCTTTATCAGCATAATTGGAATGCCATCTGGACCTGTTGATGTACTACTAGGAACCCTTTTCTCAGCCCTTTCCCACTCTTGTGAAAATGGAGCCATTGCGCCACTTGATTCATCCTTGTCTATTGTGGTGCATAAAGCACTTCTGTGTGGAAATTTTTCTGTCACCCTTGTTCTTATATATTCTATAGTTTCGTCCCCTTCTAGCCTATCTCCTTGAGCTGTAGTTATAAACCTCTGCATCTAGGCTCGTCTAATTTCTTAGGGAGTTTAGATGGTTCCAAAATTTCGCAGCTGCCTTTCTATCTTTTTTATGTACTTCTGCCAGCCACTGGGCCCCCTTTCTTCTAATCTTTTCGTTGATCAGAAGGGATGCATCCCTTCTACAGCTTAGAAAGATTTCCCATTTTCTGTCAACATCATCTGTCGGTTCACCCCGCTGCTTAGCATGTCTGTGCTTCCTGACGTTTTGCTATGGCTCTCTTAACTTCCTCCTCCCACCAACTTTTGGGTTTGTGTCTTCTTTTCCGGGGTGACTTGTCACGCGTCTTAGCAAGCTCTAGCTCAAAGAGTCTAATTAGATTCGTGTATGTCCACACTGTCTTATTATCCTCCGTGATTACTTTCTCAATTTGTTTAGTGGCTATTTCAATTTGCCTTTCTGGATAAAAAATTTCCTGTAGTTGCTCATCTTGCCTCCTTCCCACGTTCACTGCTCTTCCAAAACTTAGCTTGATACGTTTGTGATCTCTACCCAGACTTCTGGAGCCACCTTCATCTATGTGCATTCCCCTGAGCTTATCATACATCCTATGTGACATCAGTGCGTAATCTATCGTCGACTGCAGCCTTCCTACCTCCCATGTTATTTGCCCTATCCTAGCCCCGTCGCGCCGCAGCGGCCGCAACTGACCCTACGGCTGACACGCGCTCTTCCATAGAAAGCCGCTCGACACGGCAGGTCGTATTGTGCGCTCTGTCATCCAGCGGACGTGGTTAATTGATTTCACAAAGAATACGGGGGCTGAATCAGTCACAGGTTTTCTTAATTTTACAACATAGTCTACTGAAACTGATAAGTTAAGGCCTCCAAAATCAACCACTGATAGGCAATTCTAAAAACTATTCCCAAGCAACACATAAATTATTTACTCTGTGCAGCAATTAGAATTAAAACACTTTTAAAGTGTTATAAGTTTAACTTAATTGTTTACATTTCACAAAGATGCCTAAAATGCAGTACCATCATTATCAAATTACTCAGCTCCTCAACAATATGGCCGCCCCCTCTCGAAGAGAAAACGTATGAGTTCAATTTGAAACGCAATGGAAACTTCAAGACATAAATCTTCCGAGAGATCAAAGTACAAACACCGGTCACGATCGAGTTCTCGATCGAGACATCGGAGTAGACATAAGAAAGAAAAGCAGTAAGTTTATGCTTGTTATTTTCGATCGTTAGTAACGTGCAGTAGAATCGGGTCTCTGTGTGGCAAGGTTCTGTTTGTTTGTGTTCCCGATGTTTACATTGAGTGAGTTGTCATTGAGGCTCCGGTGAAACTGCAACAAGCAGCATAATGCTAAAGCGTCTTAACGGTCCTTTATCATAAAGCTTGATCGGACCGGTCACTGCAGATTGGTTTCTTTGCAGCGGCAACGTCTGAATAGTTGCAGCGCATCGCGTGTCGGCTGCACACTTCCCAATTTCTTAAAACACTCGCTTCAGCTTTAAACGTTGTGATGCGACCGCGTCGATAACCGCAGTGTTGCTTATTGCATTCAGTGTGGAGACGTTCAGCAGTGTGTCTGACTTTCGCGCAACTTTTCGAACTTCAGCCGTGCTTTCGGATTGTTAGTTCTCTGCGTTGAGGGACGGAAGGATCGATTAACGTTGCGCTATCTTTCCGAAACCAGTCGGTCACCTACACCGCCTAAGAAGTCGAAGGACAAGAAGCGCTCGAGGCGCAGCCGGAGTGATGAACGTCGAAGCCGCAAACACAAGGATCGGCGTCGTCGTTCCAGCGGGAGCAGCACGTCGAGCCCATCTAGCAGCAGAGAGGACAAGTCCAGGACGAACACTGTCCTGCCTCTCATCGAGGAACTAGAGAAGGAGCGGCAACGCCTCAAGATTGAGAAGAGGTAACTGTTCTATACCCGCACTTACTGTGTTCGTAGCACGATCTCTGAAAGCAGCTTCGTCATTCGAAATCGCAACGACACAACCATGTCCTGAACTATGCCGCGCGCATTTTGAAAATGCTGCTTTTTGATCTTCATGTCTGAAACTAAAAAACACGTGTTCTGGCTTACATCTTGGGTTGTTGCGCTCACACAGATAGGCCCTAAAAACGATTGTTTTCTGTTGGATCTTTCCGCGACATTCTACACTGCAACATTTACTTCACTCGACTTTTTCAAGTGTTATGACAGTTACTGAAGTGAAACTGAAACTTTTCGAAAGCTCCTTGGTTAGTGAAACAACAGTGCTTCACTTGATGTCATCAATGAGAAGTGAAATTGTCATTTACAGCTGCTGCCATACTGCCAGTCGCACATTCATGTGATTGCAGCATTTTATGTGTTTGTAAGTTGCTGTTGAAATGTATACACCGTGATTCTTTGAGGTGTCGCTGTCTATTTTTACTCACGACAAGTGCTTACCTTGATGGCTGCACATGTGTGTGCACAGGATTAAAATTAATCTAGAAACTTCTCTTAGGAAAAAGGTTTCATCTGTGCAGCAACATCCACTTGCTTGGAACTGAAATGCTCAGAGATGTAATGCATGATGTGCTGCCGCCTTGTGTATGCAATGAGCTTTGTGTTCTGTGAACAACTGAAAGCTTGCAAATTCATGAAGACAAGAGGTCAGATATGGAAGAGCAGGGGATTTTGTGAGAAGGTTTTTCTGTTTTACATAGGTAAACTTGTCAAAAGTAACAACTTCAAAATAGTGGAGATATTGTTTTCTCATGAACATTCAGAGATTGTCACACTTCTAATATACGACACTGGGCAACTGAATGTATATGAGTTTAAACAAAGTGCCATGGCTATTTCTGTGACGACACTTCATATAAACGAGGTATTGATATATACCTCGAACACTTTGTATACAAAATATGCTATGCACACCAAGGATACTTGATGTATATAAATTGTTGAAATGTTTATTCACTTTGAGCAATAAAATTGCCATTGAAATGAGCAAAGTCTCAGAAATGCATGACTTTTCTGTTTTGTCGCACAACACAAAAAATCAGAAGTTGGCTTTAACTGTATTTCATTTTGCATTCTCCAGGAAAGCTAAGGAGGCCATGAAAGCAACAGAAACACCTGAACAGAAGCGCCTGCGCCGCCTTGCTAAGAAGGTACGTTATTCACTGAACTGTTGCCATTTACTTGCACTCAAACAGCGCTGCAATCTTTAGTATATTTTTGCAAGCTTATTGCTGTGTAACTTTCCAAGGTGGAGAATTCATGATTCGTTAGTTACTGCAGCATTACTTGGTGAAATCTGGTAATAGGTGCACAAGTTGTGCTATGCAGACTCATTTCCAACTGTTTGGAAATTATTAATGGAGAATGTTTTCATAATTTTCTTTTTTTAGGAGGCCAAAGAGCGGAAGCGAAAAGCTGAAATGGGCTGGGATGAAGAATACCTGGTAAGAACAGAATGTCGCAGGCATTCAATGAAGCCACCTACATATTTTTCTAAAAATAAAACCTACTGTATTCAGTTCCGGTGACTTAAAATAGTGGGTAACTCCGACAAAAGTTATGTGACTACTAAGAATTTGAATTAATGCAATCAGCTAACACTCAATTTTCGTGTGCATTTTCGAAGTGTGGGAATAAAAGGCAACTGAGACAATTATTTTTTTTTACCTTTTCATAAACAGGTTTTCCTGCACCTGCTATTTTCATAAAGGTACATACATCTAGTACAAATATGCAGAAATGACTTGAAATACAGTAAAAGTCAAACGCTACTGCAGTATCAATACTGAGTGAAGTATTCAAGAGGGCTGCTTCTAAAAACATCCTCGCTGATAGTATGGCAGTTGTGGTTTGTAAGCAAGAAAAGTAAAGGTGACATACAGAAATAATGTATTAAACGACAATGCGCTGTAAGCATGCTTGGATATTACTGTTTGGCTTGGTAGAGAAAGAAGAGAAAAGTTGCTGAAGAAGTTTCAGCTATTTAGCACTGACTGGTTTTTTCTATTTCAGGGTTACACTAACACTGACAATCCATTTGGTGATGCCAACCTGCTTAAATCCTTCAAGTGGGAGAAGAAGTACGAGCGGGAGGGGACTCAAGAACGTCTCTGAGGAAGAGATTGAGCGCAGAAATCGACTCAAATTGGAGGAGAACAGGGTGAGAGTCATTCCTGTGGAACATAACTTATACACCTTTTTACTGAAGGCTTCTTAATCTCCCATAATCTCCTTTGGGCTATGCTAAATAGGTGTGCCACCCCACCACCCCTCCAAAAAAGTGCACTGCTGAGGCTGTGATGTCAGCCTTTGTGATTCTGTGCTGCAGTTCAGAAAGAAGGCTTGAGTGCATGTTCATAGCACCATTATGGCTTCGCGCCCCGCCGTGGTGGTCTAGTGGCTAAGGTACTCGGCTGCTGACCCGCAGGGTGCGGGTTCGATTCCCGGCTGCGGCGGCTGCGTTTCCGATGGAGGCGGAAACGTTGTAGGCCCGTGTGCTCAGATTTGGGCGCACGTTAAAGAACCCCAGGTGGTCGAAATTTCCGGTGCCCTCCACTATGGCGTCTCTCATAATCATATGGTGGTTTTGGGACGTTAAACCCCACATATCAATCAATCATTATGGCTTCGCTCTATGCAAGTCCAGTATTACTGGTGTTATCACCATAATAGTACAAAGAAAAAGAATGGAGTAGCAGCTTGCATGTTCTGGTTATAAGCTTGGCATCTGCCTTATGCACAAGCTGATGAATATATTGTCACGCTCATGGTGCCGTAATGCCATATTGTATGCGAACGTGACGTATGGCAGAATATCGTCCCAGGTTTTGTGCTGCACGTCCGCGTAAATTGACAGCATGTCCGCTATGGTCTTGTTGAGCCTCTTTGTCGGTCTATTAGTTTGTGGGTGGTAAGCCGTTGTTTTTCGGTGGCTTGTGCAGCTCAGTCTAAAAATGTCCTCCAGCATTTGTGCCGTAAAAGACCTTCCTCTATCCATAATCACACATGACGGCGCGCCATGTCGTCGGACGATGTGGTGCACGAAGAACTTTGCGACTTCAGACGTTGTACCGCGGGGTAATGCCTTTGTCTCAACATACCTGATCCAGCGCCCGCACGAGCATGAGCCAGCGCCCGCTGCTCGTGCTCGTGCCCGCCGCCCCTTCTTCTTTCTTTATTTGTAACAAGGTCTATTCCCACAAGGTCGAAAGGTGTCCGTGGTGGTGCAATAGGGTGGAGAAGACCCGCAGGTTTCACAAATGGCATCTTGCGATGCTGGCACTCGCGACAGCCTTGCACGTAGTGGTGTACACTGGTTGAAAGTCTTGGCCAATAGTACTGCTGGCGCACTCTGGCGAGGGTCCTTGAGTAGCCCAAGTTTCCTGACGTGGGCTCGTCGTGGCACGCGAGGAGGATGTCATCCCGCATGTTGGCTCGTACGAGGAGGAAGGCTTTTTTGCTAACTCGAGCATTTTTCTTGTAAAGGATGCCCTTCCTTAGGCAAAAGCATGACAGTTCACGAGCAATACGCCGAGGAACATGAGAATTTCGGCCTTCTAAGAAATAAATAACAAGGCGCAATTCCTGATCTGCTCGTTGTCTAGACATGAAGTCAGAATCGCTGAGGGCTCCAAGAAAGCCATCAGCATACTCAGAGTCCCTATCAGGTTGTCCTACAGGTGCTCGAGAAAGTCCGTCGGCATCTACGTGCTTGCGCCCAGACCTATAAACAATCGTGATGTCAAACTCTTGCAAGCGCAAACTCCACCAAGCGAGACGACCAGACAGATCGTGGAGATCAGCCAGCCAACACAGCGATTGGTGATCAATCACCATTCGCTGGTCACCACCTTGAAGGGACGGCCGTAGAGGTAAGGTCGAAACTTTGCCATTGCCCACACGACTGTGAGACATTCCTTCTCTGTAGTAGAGTAGTTGGCCTCGGCTTGAGAGAGTACGAAAGGCATAAGCTATCACATGTTCAACGCTGTTGTGCCATTGTACAGAGACAGCACCAAATCCGATGTTGATGGCATCTGTGTGAACTTCGGTATCAGCGTCCTCATGAAAATGCGCAAGAACAGGTGCTGCTTGCATTAGCTGCCGTAACTCTGTGAAAGCTGCTTCTTGCTTGGTGCAGAAGACTGAGGCGCAAAAAACATATCGTGAAGCAGGAAGAGCAGAAGAGAAGAAAGAACAGCGCCATTCTCTTCTGCTCTTCCTGTTTCACGATATGTTTTTTGCGCCTCAGTCTTCTGCACCAAGTATGCACCAACTAGCCCAAAAACAAGTCCTTTTGGAATACTGCTTCTTGCTCTGTACTCCAGGCAAACGGTACATCATCTCGGGTGAGTCGCGCGAACGGTTCGGCTATCGATCGTCTTGAAGTTGGTGATGAATCGGCGATAATAAGCTCACAAGCCAAGGAAACGCTGCACTGCTTTTTTGTCTGACGGAAGAGGAAAGGTGGCGACTGCGGCAGTTTTGTCTGGGTCAGGCCAAACGCCATCCTCACTCACGACATGTCCCAGAAGGGGTTTTAGCATGAGTGCGGCCGAATGAATAGTTTCAAGAACCATTCTTAGGCGCTTTAGATGTTCTTGGAAACTTTCAGAGAAGATGACCACATCGTCAAGATATACAATGCAGCTTTGCCACTTCAAGCCAGCGAGAACGGTATCTATCATCCGCTCGAACGTTGCTGGGGCCGAACAGAGGCCGAAAGAAAGAACTTGGAATTCATAAAGCCCATCGGGAGTTATGAACGCTGTCTTCTCTCGGTCTCGCTCATCGACCTCCATCTGCCCATAGCCGCTCTTCAAATTGATCGATGAAAAATACTTCGCGTGTTGCAGCCTGTCGAGAGAATCATAACCCATGGAAGCGGGTAAACGTCTTTTCTTGTGATGCTATTGAGCTTCCTGTAATCAATACAGAATCGCATCGTTCTGTTTTTATTTTTCACTAGAATGACTGGAGAGGACCGTGGGCTGCTGGACAGTTGTATCACACCATCGTCAAGCATCTTCTTTACCTGCGTCTGTATAGCCTCGTGTTCTGTTCTCTAGCCGAGACACGGTAAGGTTGCTGGCGGATTGGGCAAACATCATAGTCGGTAATAATTCGGTGCTTCTTGAGGGGTGTTTGACTGACTCTAGATGAAGAGGCGAATCACGATTGAAATTCCTTCAACAGGGTGTGAAGTGCGGCCTTCTTCTCGTCCGAAAGCTTCGAATTGACGTCGATGCTGTCCAGAAACTTGCATCCATCAACAATTTCCTCGGATACGAAGTACTCGGTGTCATCCACTACACGGTCTTCAAAGGCCACAGTGGTGCCGCGGAAAAGATGTCTGTGCTCGAAGTTGAAATTGGTGATGAGTATCTGTGACCGTCTGTCACGCAAACGCTCAATGCTTCGCACAGTGCACATACCTTGAAGCAGCAGAAGGGATACGTTGCATCGCCTCACCGTCTAGGAGGTCTTCAAAGGTGACTTCCACGAAAGCAGTCATTCGGGGAGGCAGCGTCATGCTTTCGTCGGAAACACACAGCGCAGGTCTACGACGGCTATCAGCGCCTCGATCGGTTGCATGTTGCATCGAGAAAATCACCATTCCCTCGCGGAGATTTATAATCGCGCCGTTCTCTCGAAAAAAGTCCATACCAAGGATGAGCTGATGAGAACAGTCGCATAGTACGAGACAGGTCACCACAAATGTGTACTTGATTATTTCCACTCTTGCGGTACAGCAGCCGAATGGAGTAACAACGTGGCCTCCAGCCGTACGAATACGCGTCCCATTCCAAGGTGTCATCACTTTCTTAAGACTGGTTGCCAATTTTCTGCTCCTAATAGAATAATCTGCACCTGTGTTCACCAATGCGCTGACCTGAAGACCGTCTATCAGCACGGGAATGTCGAGCGAGACTCGGTCTCTGGGTTCAGACGCAGAATCCGGAGTTTCTCTCGCACTGCACTTGGATGTCAATTCAATATCTGCAGCGTTTCGTGCAAGCGTCGATGGGAGGTCTGCCGCACTTTAGTCCCAGTGACCTCGCCCCCGAAGGACGCTGCCTTCAGTTTTCCCGCTGAGGGCTTGGGGAGCGTTCCCATGCCGTCGTACCGAAACGTGACCCAATGGCTGCGGGTCGCCGTGCAGATGGTGACCACGATTGACGCCGTGAGAAAGGTAGATGTTGCTGCGCGAGGTAGTACTCAATTTCCCTTGGCCTCTGGCGAACTAGTGGACGAGGTGATTGAATAGAGAAACCGCGCAGTCCAAGTTGTCGGTACGGGCATTCCTGGTATATGTGGCTGGCTTCACCGCTATGGAAGCACAGGGGTCTTCTATCGGACGTATGCCAGATATCAGACTTCCGCGTAGGAGCACGGCGACCGTCGATGTCCAAACCAGCGTGTGCTGATTGAATTGCAACTGGTGACATCGTCTGGATTTGGACTGCAGTGCTACAGACCAGCATGGAAGTGCACAAGGCTTCGGCATATGTACGGTTCGGAACATCAGTGGATGCAGGAGGTGGTTCTAGATTGGTATCCATCGGTTGACAGCGACGGCTGTGAAGCACCTGCTGGACCTCGTTCCTGATAACGCTGGTGGTGCTGTTTACTTCCGGCTGTCTCGCCTCATGTAGTTTTGCCATTTCCTCGCGGACGATAGAGCGAACGATTTCTTGAATCCATCCAATGCTGTTGCTCCCGAAGGTGGCGGAAAATTCAGGAGATTATGCAGCATTCACTTGCCGGTCAAACAGGACCGACCATTCATGAAGTACCTTCTTCATTAAAGTGGCTTCGGTCAGAAACTCCACTACCCTCTTCGAAGGTCTCCGCTCTAGACCAGCAACAAGCTGCTCGTTCACGCCTCGCATCAGATAGCGCAGCTTTTTTTCTTCTGGCATTGCCGGATCCCCTCGCCTAAAAAGCCACGTCATGTCCTCCACATACATGATGACGGTCTCATTGGGCATCTGGATGCATGAGTACAATGCACGTTCGCGGTGGCCGGGGCTCCGATAGGTCTCCAAGAGGCGATGCTGGAACTCGCGCCAAGATGTCAAGACATCACCTTTGTTCAGAAACTACGTTCAGGCGCCGTCTTTTAAGCAGGCGTAGACGTTGCGGAGTTTGGTGGCTTCGTCCCAGTAGTTGATCGCTGCGACATGTTCGAACTCGCTCAGCCAGTCGTCTACATCCTCCGTGAAAGGGACTAGGCATCAGCGGGTTCTGGACAGTGCGATAGATCGGTGTAGAGGACGAAGGATTTTCCATGGTGCTTTGAGGAGAAGTCATAGTCGCTCTGTCGACTAGCTGTTCCGCGTCTCTGGTGGTAGGCCTCGTTGGTGGCGGCTTGTTCTGTGAACTGGCGTGTTCACGGGCACAGGGCTTGCGTTCCGGCTCCTGGGCGGGCTCTTGTGCATGGGGTGCGTCGCGAGTCGTCATACCCAGCACATCCACCAATCTTGTCAAGCTCAAGGTAACATTGCGTAGTACTGCTCGTTGAGCTAGGCCAAAAAGCATCTCAGTCCGAACTTCTTCGTCCTCTTCCACACGAAAACACGAGAGACCATGCGGCAATATTAATATGCTATTCTCTGTGCACATATAAACAATTGGATAATTGTCGATAATATAGTAGATCACTGATAGAGAATGAGTACAGCGGTAAATTTGTAGCGATATAATAAAGGAATGATTCAGTGAGGTTGGCTTGTACTATTGCATGTAACCAAGAGTTTCATTACACTTTGTGCTTTGCGTCTGTGTCATAAAATAAGATTGTCTGAAAGTACCAGCTACAGCAGACCATGCCGCAATGTGTGTTGATGCTTGTACATGCAGCGGGAGCTGGAGAAAGTGAAGCAGAGGCGACTGGAGCGGGAAAGGGAACAGGAGGAGCGGGAGGAGGAAATGGTGAGTCTCTGGAGTGCTTCTCTTCGTTTCGTAGCCAAAGGCACTCACTTTGGTTATGGCAAACCCACAAGGTACTATATCACTCCAGGTACAAGTACATCAAGTGTGAGCTCGCCAATATGTCAATTCTAATATCTCATCAGGTACCAAAAGGTACAAGTATCCCTCAGCCTCAAGACCAATTGATTGTTTTCTGGAATTCTTGCTTACTTGCTCACAATAGGCTGCAGATATATTACTAGACCCTTTGGTATATTAGCTACGAAAGATTAGTGAGGATGGCTACATGCTGGCATGGTCAGATCAGGTTGAACCACAGTAGACGCTCACTAAACAGAAGTTTAAGTGGAATTGCTGCTTAAAAGGAACATCTGCCTCCAGTACGATTGGTTGCATACCTGAATTCTGCACCCCTGTTCATCTGCCAGTAAGTGGAATGCCTGTTAAACAGCACATGTTTTCCTGGTTCCTTCAGGTTTTGTTTAACATAAGTCCACTGTACATATAGCCTGATGTGCTCTGTGTTTGTGTCCTTACACATTTGGGCCACAATGTTTTCACACTGGGGCACACCACAGCAGGCACGAACTACAATAACTCTAAGTGCTCACCACAACATGCTAAAGATATCTCCTGGTGCAGATGATGTCACGTTTGCAGTCAACACATTAAAATTGTATTTTTACGAATTTTCCTACCAGATGCACATTATGAAAATAAGAATTCTTTTCCCTCTGTACAAAGTTTTAGAGAGTTCGAATGTCCAACCTTGCATTGCTGTAATCTGCCAGTAATGGTAATATGATTATATTTACTAAACAATTCCTTTGATGTGGCTGCCATTCTTCAAGCAGCACAGGCTGCTTGAACGCATTGTGTATATATATTTGAAGTAAATAGTAGCACTTGAAAAAAAAAAAACATCTATAAAACTTATATTCTTAAGGGGGTAGTGTTACAACAACTGGCTTATTTTGTCACGGAATACAAGATGAATTTATTTGTGCTTTCATTCATCCCACAGAAGTGTTTGAACTGTTGCACTTCTGTGAAATGGTTGGTCTGATTGCTTTTTCCTTTTTGCAGACACGCATTCAGAGAGACAAAGAGGCAGCTCAGTTTCAGGAGTGGGAGAAGCAAGAAGACAATGTGAGTGGCTTTTGTGTGACACTGGCATTTGTAATTAAACGTAGCTGCAGAGAAAACGATCACAATCGTCAGATTCACGTTTCATTGTGTGTACTATTCTAGCACCACTTGGTGGTTCACAATAGCCTCACAGAAACGAACCACTACAGCCTTAATGGCTTTGTGCAGGCCATTATAAAGTGTGAATTCGGTGTGTAACATTAGAGGGACTCTGAAGCGAAATGATGAATTGGTCATGATTGATGAACTATATTCTGAGAACCCTAATGTTGTTAATTTCATGCTCATAGGTATGTATTGCTAAAGAAAAAAATTAAGGTCAAAGTTTCATTTTTGAATTCGGCACTGAAATTTCCAATGGTGACGTCACGGATTTCAAGATTAATTTTCTTATTGGGACGACATTGGCTCAATGAAATTTCCTAAAACTTGTTATTTTTCTGTGGCCCCCTCAGTAGACAACTTGACTTCTACTTATTAGGAACTGCCTCTGACTCGGGAACGCCATCTAAATCGTGATCACTCCTTTACCTTGCAAGCTTCTGAAAAACTGATGTGACTCGCTTCACTGAAACTACTGGCACTAGAATTGTCACCGTCTCCTCCAAGTTTCAACTTCCTATCATTTGTCTCCCCACTTGAAACCACTGGTTTTTACCCAGTAATCAGCAGGATATAGAGCTGTAATATTACTTGTTTCAAGTAGGCTTGTGCGAATAGTGAATTTCAACTTCGAAAAGGATAGGGATTTGGTTGAATAATTTCGATTCGATTTCGAATAGTATGTATATTGAATATTTCAAATAAAAATGGGCATGGCGTATTTTTTATGAGCTAACTAACCTGCACAAGATACCTTTGCAAATTGAAAAAACGCCTGTGCAAATGCCATTTTGCTTCAAGGTAAGTAGAAACTACTTTGAATAGGAGAAGGATTTCACTTTCAGTAGAATGCCTGTGATAACGCTTAAAATATGTGACATTTTTAAAATTTGCTATACTTAGTGGATATAAGTTGGTATAACAAGCTTTTAAACTTAAAAAATGATCCAATGTGTGGGTAATATCTTCGTTTAACCTTGAAGTGGGGCTTTGTGATAGTGCGGCGTTCCCCTGGATATGTGTTTTCACAGTTTAGCACTACGTGCTGCAGTGAAACCATATTTACAAGGGGTTATATGTGCTTTAATATACATGTCCTAGTTCATTTCAAATAATTCAAAATTTTCAATAATTTGAATTCAATTCAAAGCGAATTCAAATGGTCTATTATTCGTTCAAATATTCAAAGCATTTGAATATTTTCAGTAGCCTTTTCCAAACAAGTTTGTTGCTTGGAAACCGCAAAAATTTTCAATCCTTCTGGACAAGACGCTGTAACGGTCACATAGAGTGTACAGCGGTTTCTGACTTTTGCCTTTTCCTTCCAGTTTCATTTGCAGCAAGCTATTCTGAGGTCCAAGATACGTATTGAGGATGGGAGAGGTGAGTGATTCTTAAGGGCATTATCATCGTCATTGGTTAAACTGTGTCTTTTTTAACTGTTCGTCAGCCAAGCCCATCGATTTGCTGGCCCGCTACATCAGTGCCGAGGGTGAGGACTTTGGCGTGGATATGCTTGAGCCTTATATTTACTTGAATGTGAGTTTTCTGCTTTTAACTTTTCTCTTTAGCAGGATTGCTAAGGGTATGCATGATGTGGTACTCAACTGTGCTCAATAGTATACAGTCACCAGCCGATATTTCTGGTGTGTTCAAGTCATTCGCAGTCTTGCTTGTGATTCTGTTGCCTAAGCTGTGGAGCCATCATGTATAATGGCAAGCAAAAATTTTTATGCTGCTTAGTGTGCTGCTTAGTTTCGTCCACTGATCCTCATGTACAGTGCTACGAATGTGGCAGTTGCTAACAAAGTTGCTGCCATTTCTGGTGGTGCCCTTTATGTTGTTTTTAATAGTCGTGACTCATCAAGTTTTCGAGTGCGCCGTGGCTGCAATGAAAATAGCTTTACTGAGCCTGCAAAGTGCAAGTTAGAACATTAGCAAAATTTAGTACCGTGTATGTAGCATCCGTAACGGCATCGCGTATGTAAGAACCCTCCGTTTTGTAGAGAGCGCAGGTGGAAAACATCTGCTCGTGTGCTCCGTGAAAAACGCAGCGTTCTTATGAACGTTACGTACACCAGTTTTTAGACTTGCGACCAACTCTTCACAAAGCAGTGCTTGTTCAACCGAGGTGGTGGGTGTTGTGGATGGCAAGCTGTCGTTGCGGTGGGAAGCTCCATCTCGATGCTGTAGTACCTACGAATAGCATTGTATGCTCAACGTGCAGTTGTCTGCATGTTCTGAACTAAAGGCCACAAATGCAGTGAACTTTGTTGCTATAAATGATGAGCTTGCTGCTTATGGGAAGTTTGTACATGCTTAGTGGATAAAGTTGTTTAGTTAAGCACAAAGCCCTGTAATGAAGTTGTGTAACACTTCCAAGGCATCCGTAATTCCTGCCACGTAAACCTGGTCTTTGTCACAGTGGAGGGCAAATAATAAAATCGATTGGTTGTTGTGCACGTGTGATGTGCCTTCAAACTAAACCATAATGCTCATAGCTGCCCTTTGTGGTACTCGTCTATGTATGTACATCACTGGTTACCCCTCTTTTTACTGTATTTTTAACAGGGCCTGACCATGGAGGACTTGGAAGACCTGCAAGAGGACATCAAGGTGTACATGGAGCTGGAGAACAGCCGCAACCTCAGTTACTGGCGAGACCTTCAGATAATAGTCGAGGAAGAACTGCGCAAGCTCCGGCGTCTCGACACATCATCTGGTGAGTGCAGAGAAAGGCCTTGTGCTGCCTCTTTCCACTTGCCCTTCTGTCCGAAGCTGGCATTAGCTGTTACAGTGTGACACCAACGTAGTTTTCAAATTGAGCTCTTGCTGCCATTATTCTCAGTTCTAAGCACCTTTGCACACTTAGGTGCAAGTATGTGTGATATGTGTAACATTAAGTTACAGTCAAGCTTCTGTAGTACGTAGATACAAATATAGATAATAATTAGGGGTGTGAAAATATTTGAAATTTCAAAATTTTTTCTAATAGTGTTTGCTATTTGATTCGATTTGAACTGGAATTTTACTGTTCGAACTTCTGTAAGACAAATACAGTCAAAGTCCAATTAATAGTCCAAATTTTTAATATGCTTCACTTCATCATGTTTTTGTACTGTGGCAAAGCTAACTTCTAGGCTTTGCTATGATCGCAAGTGTTTTAACTAAAAAAATTGCTGATTTCAGCATAGAGATATCAGTTGTGGAAGAGGTGGTGGCTCGATTAATGCTGTTTGTGACCTGAAATTTGTGACTTGAAGGAAGTGTGAAAAATCGGACGCTGTAGTTTTATCATATGAAATTTCAGATGCTCTTGTATATTGACGTCTAGAAGGCAAATTTGGATTTGGAACTCTGGAATCGTAGTGAGCACACCCTTGTTTACCGCATCAGTTGAGCTTCCACAGAAGTTGAAAGAGAGGCTAAGGAAATATCATTGTCGCCTTTCACTTGCAATGTGTTGTTGGCAACACTTTCGTTGCACCAAGTCATCTACAGAAGTACAATTAGGCCTTTGCATTGCCTCATTTTTGATAAGACAATTATGAAACATCAGTTGCCAGCACTTAATCAACCTTGCTAGAAGAAACACTTTCATGTTGCTATCTCATAAAAATATGCTCGGAAATCCCCTTTATCCTCTTTTTCTGCAATTTCACTTTGAAGTACTCGAAATAAATTCTAGAAATATTCGAGAGATATTCATTAATGTCCGATTAGATTCGTACTCGCACTTCAATATCTGAATTGGATTTGCACCCAAAATTTTGCTATTTGCACAGCTCTAATTATAATATTTAGCCAACTTAATTATTTCTTTAAAAAAGCTAGACTTGTGCAAATATTCGAGCACTTCAAACACTCGAATGAATATTAATGTCTTCAAAACTGCTTCGATCTGAATTTAAATTGTGGAAAATTTTGAAGTATTCAAAGTGAACCTACAGGTTTATAGTGATGTGCATGTAACTCCCTTTAAAGGTGGTCTCACTGCAATGGAGGTGTTCTATACCATGAGCACACTTCTTCAGGAAAAATTTGCATTGCCACAAAGTTTCACTGCAAGGCTAAATAAACATGTTACCCCCGCATCAATGCTTCCTTTTTAAGTTAATAACTTGTTGTTCCGGTGCGTATGCTGCAAGTATAGTATGCTGCAATTATATGCTGCAAGTATGCTGCAAACATACTATTTTATAGGTCATTACCTGTATTTTAATGAAAGTCAAATTCTGGTGCTATTCATAGTTGCTTCCACTTCCTTCGAACCAAATAGAAAGGCATTTGCTCGATCCTTGTTTTGATTAGAAAAAAAATATATATATTGCGGAGATTAGTTAGGTGCTCACAAATATGGTCATTTTTTTTTCATAATATGTGATATAGACTATTTGAATTCGATTCGAAATTATTCAAACCAAATTATTATCTACTTTGACCCTATAATTTACTATTTGCACAGGCCTACAAGGAACCTCTAATAGCCTTCACTTGGGGAGTAGTGAGACATGGTGAAAACTTGACAATAGTGGCAGAACAATAATATGCATTGAAGCATAAATAAAGAAAAAGCAAAAACACAACACAATAACTACAGAAAGGCACTAGAATACAGACTACAAATGGCTGTTTTTTTAAGAAGGTCAATAAATTTCTATAAAACTGATTTACTTATACAGCATATAGTAAAGTGAACCCAAGAGCTTTCTTTGAAGCATGAAATTGATATATGCTAATTGCCAATATTGGACTATGAAGGTGTTATTCTTTACTTAATTTTGCTTCATTCTCATCCTCTCTCAGAGATTTATTGCCATTAGTATTGATGTCCAGCCCAATACTGATTACATAACATGTGTGCCAACAGTGGATGCCCTGGTCGGGGAGCGGCGAGAAGGCATCAACGCAGCGGTCAGCCAGGATGTGGTGGAAGTGTTCAAGGGCAAGACCCCTGGCCAGCTTCAGGCCTTGTACCAGCAGATTGACCAGCGAATCCGTTCAAAGGAGGAAGGCCTGGATGTCCGTGAGTGTGGACACGTGCATGAGAAATTTGAAGATTTCGTTTAATTATGTAAATGTTGAAGAAAAAGAGTGAATCAATTTGGAATGCTGTGGTGGCATCCTGTAGAACTTATGCCTTCATTAATTTAAGGATAAAAATTCACGCCATCTTCCCAAAGGGAACCCTGAAAAGATGTGAAGCAGCAGCATTGCGCTCGAGTGGCGTCAAGATTTGAATGGCGCTAACGTGGGTGCTGCGGTGAGCGCTGGAAGATTCATTTGAAGCAATGGCTGGCATAGGTCTTGCGATGGCTGGCGCATCAGGTTTATTGCATATGAACCGATGAGTCGGTGGTGTAGCGAGCGGCTGTAGCGACAGGTGTTGCGGGCGAATGGACAAGGCGGCAGCTGTGGGCGCTACAGCGAGCACGCTGCAGACGATAGGGAGAGTGACGTCAGCGCGCACTGTGAGGGGAGCCTGATGTCAACACGCAGCTGCAGCGTGACCTACTTGGCACTGCTCCAACACCTGTGGTGAGAAGAGCGCGTCGCGGCACGTTCGCACAGATTCACAGAAGAACAGCGTTACACAGACTAGTCAATGAGCTGCTTCGCATCTAATAGTTTAGTTATGTAAGTAGATAAAATAAAATTTGAACTTATCTTCCTTGAATTTCATGCTAGAGCACCAGTACTTAGATCTCTGTGGCATCAAATTAAAAATATTTCGTGTCTAGGCCACTACAGGCTAGTGATAGCTATTGACAAGCTTTGATTAGAAAAAAGTCACAGAATCATTTTGTTATATAGACAGTATGCAAAATTTCTGGTAGATACTTGTGTCAGTAAGTTAAAGTGTACATTATCAACTTTCAAAAAGCTGGTTAAGCCTCTGTAGCTGCAAAAATTTTAAAATGGTTTTGCTTGAACCATTACAGCCTACTGGGAGACGCTTCTGTCCCGTTTAAAAGCCTACATGGCACGAGCGCGGCTACGTGAACGCCACCAAGAGAACCTGAGGCGTAAACTGTTCCAGCTGAAACAAGAGGTGAGCGCAAACCCGTAACAGAAAAAAACAAAACAAAAAACTTGCATTCGTACTAGAGCAGGCTGGATGTTGTGAAGATCAAGTTAAATTGGTGAAATTTGTGGTTGCAGCAAGGAGTGGAAAGTGAGCCGCTGTTTCCGTGCGTAAAGGCTGAGCCAGAGGAAGCCAAAACGGAGCCAGCCACTGAGCCACAGCCTAGTACGTCTGCTCAAGATAGCAGCCTACCGGTCAAGGAAGAGGAGCAAGAAGATTCTGTGGACACCGACGAAGAGCAGCTTGGAGAGGAGCCTGTGCCCGAGTAAGGAATTTGCACTGATCACCCAAAACCACAGAGAACACTATTATTTCCCTGTGGACTGTTCTCAAGACAGATTGATAAAATTGATCAAGCTGTCCAGCTTGTTGAATTGAAATGGCCCCAGACGAAGGCCTCTTCCAGTGATCTACAATTTACCTTACTCTGAGAGAGCTGATTCCATTTTATCTCTCCAAACTTTTTAATTTCGTCACTTCATCCAACTCTCTGCCTTCCTCGATTGCATTTCCCATCCCTTAATAATTATTTTGCTGCTCCTACTGTCCACCTGTTGTCTGTTTTGCGTGTCAACTCAGATTCATTTCTGTCACTTCATGTCAACTAGAATGTCCACTACCCCTGTTTGTTCCCCACCCAATCTGCTGTGCCCCAATTTCTTTAACTAGATTCCACTATTTACTGCTTTGGGGTGCACCCAAATGTAATGGGTGACGGGTATTGCAGCAAAAAGTATAGCTTGCCTCGTATTCTAACAAAATTACGAATATATGAAACCTGCATTGTTTATCGTCTCATAACAAAATTCTACGCCAAGTGGGCCATTACCCCCTTTGCACAGCTTTTGATCGCTGCTGGCGACATGTCATTTGATATTTCTAATTTCTTGTGGGGCTCTGCAGCTTATGCAATCTGTGTGGATACTGTTACTGAGAACAGACAGCAACAGTAACACTCAAATGCAGCAGCATTGCTGCTGTGTTCAAGCAAGGCCACTAAATAGCAAACAGAACCCTCGTATATACTAGTAGTACTGTATTTACTCACATGATAGGCACACTTTTTTTTTTCTAGAAAATCTAGCGCCAAGTTCGGGGTGCGACTATTATGCAAGGTAAAGTTTTAAAAAATTTTAAATCGGACTACAGCATGGATTGCTGATAATGTAAGTCACCGAAGTCATGATATCCTCACTACAGTCGAAACAACCTTCTTCATAGCCTACACTAGCACAAAACATGTTGAGCGTGCAGCCTGGCGTGTCTGAGAATTGATGCATTCAATGCAATGTGCTTACAAGCATTCAGATTTTCAAAAATTAACATCGGGAGACTCGCATTGCCAAACGAATTAATGTGGAAAAAAAAACTATAAAAAGAAAGTGCCAACGCGGACATTCGCCGATTATGTTTCAGGCCACCTTGTTTATGCACATTATCACGACTGAAATTTGGTGCACTGAACAGTAGCGAATGTTCATTTTATGGCCTTGCACCCCATTTCCCAAGACATTGCAATTGAATGTCAAACCACTATTCGTGTGTTACAAGCTCCGCCCATGCCCTCTTTCCTTGAGGTAGAGCCTCCGCAAAGAGTTTTGCCGATTCCGTACAAAACTGCAGCTTTGATCACACACGACTGCTACCGAAAAGCAACAAATGCTGATTAGGCTTAGTCTACAGTTCAGCATGTTGTCGCGGGAAGTTTGTGCGAGTCAAATGAAGATCGGGTATTGAAAAAATTGTACTCAAGCACTGATTAAAGAGTAGCACGCATGATGCAATGTTTAGGTTTGCTGTAGGGAAATCAAGGGTGACAAAAATCCGCCGAGCTTGTGCAAGCCCATGTTGTGTCAGCAAAGGTGAAAGCTTGCATCGGAAAGCCGGAAAGCTCTGCATACGAGGTAGCAAACGCAATAACAACGACGCTTTTTTGGACAGGAAACTCAAAGTGCACTTGATGAGGACGCGACCGCACGTTCTAAGCGGAGTGCGCGCTGCCAGCGCCGGTGCAAAGGTTTCTTCAACGACCAGGCAACCACCCTTCTTCCTCACTCAGCAAGCCCACGCAGCGCTGCCACGGTCTTTTTAAGTAAGAGGGCATCGAATTGCAATCGTGCAAACATGGTACAGAATTACTATTGATCACGACCAAATGCGGAAAGAAAAATACACCCTGATTTCTCATGACCAAACGAGTGCGCCTATTATGTGAATGAATACATTACTTTCAAACAGTCGGAGGACTCACGTAGTACAGCTTCAAGATTTCTGTTGTGTCGCTTGTCAGGTTGGCATATATCTGTGAAAAGTTTTTGCAAATTTAGGAGCTCACAGATTAGTAACTTCATACGGTTGGCCAAAGAAGTTTACGAATTTGTAGCGCGTAGCGGAGCGATAAAACACTGCTCTGTCACCTATTGGGACGCAACAAAGTGCCCAGGTCACCGGCGGTGGACTCTGCGATTAGCAACGGTGCTTTTAAACAGTGCGCCATTGTCGGATCTAATAATTGCAGAGGCCGCGGCTGCGACCAGTAGCTCTAACACCACGCCGCGCCACACTAGGAGGCGCAGCAATGCAGTTTTCCGCCTCACCGCCTCACACTGCAGGTCCTGCAAACTTTTGCGGCCAACAGTACTGCAATATTTTAGTTTATACCATCCTTTAAGGTACAGACAGGGACACGTGACGGCATGTTACTTTAATGCGACTTACCTTGTAAAGTGATGGCACATACCCATTAGTCTGAATCTTCAGCAGCTGTTCAGTGGCATGATGATAGAACTTATCTAGAGATAAAAGGCCTTTTCTCACATTGCTATAGGAACCGGCATTGCATCGAGATTCAAAAATAAGGAATAGTGAAGTCGACTAGCATAAGCTGGTCGCAGGCCAAGAAAGCAGAGCACCAGAGTTTTATGCACACCTGCATGTCATTGAACTTCAATTTTCTACGAAGCATTGGTTGCTACAGCAATGGGAGATGAAATATTTTTTGGTGTGAATTTGTGTCATTCTCCTATAGAAAGCCGCTGTCGTTGGTTGACATGTGGTTTATTAAGGTTAGTCATTATTCAGTTGTGGTTGACTGGTGCTTGGTTGTCTGGCTGATTATACCTCGTGAGTGTCCTCACCTAAAAACGACATACATCTTACAATGCGCTCCATACATACAAAGTGTTGACAGTCATAGAGCTGAAACTAGGCTGAAATTTCTGTCATAGAGATAGCTACGTTTTAACGTGGCCTTCTCTCTGCAGGGACCCACTGGTTAAATGGGAAGAAGAGTATCGAGCAGGAGGCTACAGCCCTCGGCTGCTGCAGCCGGATGAAATCGAGCCAGGCACACTGCTGATTGATGGGGACGAGGATGAACAGCGCCTGGAGTTCGCCCGACAACAGATGCTGGGCACCGGGCGCATCCAGGTAAGTTAGTGGTTCTCAACTAGGTATCCCGCTCCAACACTATTTCAGCATGGTCAGAAAATGCTGCGAATTAGTAGTTGAGGCTCCTGAAAACACCTGAGCCAAACATTATAGCACAGTATGTGATCTGCAGAGTTTACAATAAATTTTCAACGTCTGCAAAAAAAAGGCTTCCTCTTATGCAAACAGTCGTATGCGAGTGATGCCATATTCTCAAATGACCGCATCATATGCCCAAACCTACAGCCATTGGCTTATTTGAGCATCATTGGTGGCATAGTTACTGTGCCCGCCCCTGAAAGGTCGCCTTGAGCCCACACACGCACATGCGATCGCATTGAATGCAAGCTGTGTATTATAAAAAAATGTGTGCTCAAAGTCATGATGCACGCATAATGTAGGTAGCTTCTTTTCCCTTGTGCCATCCCTCCCTGCTTAGCTTCTAGCACACTCATTGGGGCGAGACAAGGAGAAAGCACTTACAATGTGCGACAAATTACTGACTCATTGGGAAAAGCCAGACGAGTCGTCGGCTTTTTCGCCATGGTCTTTGCGTTCTGCGTCATAAATTTCAAATGCTCAATGCGAGAGAATTGTAATTACTTCCAGGCTTTGCTGGTGTCAGTGGTGCTCATCACGAAGTGCGCACTTGTAATTGGCAGTTGGCACTCATTTAAACAGGTTTCGTGGCAGCACCGAACATATTCACAAGAGCCTGGGCACACACCAATATGCATGTTATGTGTACTGGAAAGTATTAAAAAGCTATTTTGGTCATGGCTGTGGCGATCAGACCACTTAAGTGAAAGCCTAAAAACTTCGAATAGTCCCATTCCTGTGTGAATCAAATCAAATAGTAAGCGCTATTAAAAAATATCCGAGAGTTTGAAATTTCTCACACCCCTACTAATAATAAACGAATGAAAAGCGTGTGTGCATGCATATATGATTACAGATCTGTTGTGAGTGATAAAACTACACTATAACACGAGCACCCTCCCATCACGTCTTACAGAATCTTGGTGTGACCGAGGCTGAGCAAGAGTTCGAACAGGAAGCTCGCCGAGGTATGAACGCAGATGAGGCCTCGTTCAGCGTCGAGTCACCTCTTCAGGACAAGACATATTTGTGGTCAGACAAGTACCGGCCACGCAAGCCCCGCTACTTCAACCGGGTTCACACGGTCAGTGTTCTAATTGTCCATGTCAAGTGCAAAATCTCTCAGTCATCTGCTGCTTTGAAACATGCTGCAAGCATCACACAGCTTTTGTAGAAGCCACTATATATATGTGCTCGAAATTCGCTGTTTGTCACATCTAACCCCATAGCTTTTTCTAGAGGTGTGTCAATACTGAATTTTTGGGTGTGAAGTGACTTGGAATATTGAAGAGTGAGAGTGAATCGAATATTTGTAGAATATTTTTAATACATTGAAGCGAGATTGCAGAAAAAAAGAGTTGAAGAGGATTTCAAAGCATATTACTATTATGCGATAGCAACAGGGAAGTGTATCTTTTGGCTATGTTGATGGAGCACTGACAGGGTGATATTTCACATTGTTTTATCGATATATCAGGCAACGCAGAGGGCGAATTGTATCAGTACATGGTTTGTTGCAACCAAAGTGTTGCCGACAACACTTTACACTTGAAAGGCAAAGATGCTATTTCCTCAGCCTCTTCTTCTTTTTCAACTTCTGTGGATGCCCAATTGATGCGGCGTATAAGGGTGTGCTCCCTTCCAGTCCGGAGTTTAAAATCTGCCTTGCAAGACCTCAGCATAAATGTAGACATCAACATCTGAAATTTTGAATGCTGAAAAATTTTGGCCTCCAATATTTCGGACTTTCTGCACAAATTTCAGGTTCAAAACAAAATAATTGGGACCCCTCGCCCCACCTTTAAATTTCCATCGTTTTCTTGAGTTAATTCATTTGCAACTATAGCAGAGCTTGAAAGGCAGCTTTTTAGCAAGACGAGGATGCAATGGGGTGAAGCATATTGAAAATTTGAAGGGGCTGTTGTTACAATGATGCTGACTGTATTTAACTTTGAAATATTCGAATAGTAAAATTCTGGTGCGTATTTAAGCAAATAGCAAACACTATTAGAAAAATATTGGAAATTTTCAATATCAATATTTGTGCACCCCGACTTTTCTTTAACTGTATTGAAAAATCGGCTTCTGATGGCTTCACTGGAATAGATGAATTTTGATAGCTACGAACAGTGTAAAATTTTGTGAATAAGTATCATGTGGTGCTGTCACTCTGTGTTGAAGCATTCAACCTAAACTGCCTGGACAGTCATACATAGCATAAAAAAAAAAGGCATCAATATTTTGGTGACTTCACAGCTTCATAGCAAAGCAAAAATGTAAAGGAAGCTCTTGCAATAGTGTCACTAGGAGACTCCTGGATATCAATGAGCAACAGCAAACAAAATGAAGATCCAAAGTCTCAATCGTGAAATCAGGTTGGCCTCACTGTTGCATCAGTGTTGCAATATGAATCATCAAACTGTTTTTGATATCACAGCTAAAGCTCTTTTGCTTTAATCAAAGTAAAGCTGTAAAGGGTTACAGTTTTATTCTCGTCTGTGAAAGCTGTGTAATTTAACATGCAAATTGTTATCACTAGTGGACAAATGTAATGTTTTTATCTCCTAGAATTTCTCATCAAATCTTACATGGCCAACAGTTCAGCAATCTGTGGCATTGCTACCAATGGCACTTGTATGCACTTTTTATATCTTGACAGATGTTTTCCAGTTGCACTCGCTTCTTTTTTTGAAACATTGTCACTAATCGTCATGTCTTCTTTGCTGCCAGGGCTTCGAGTGGAACAAGTACAATCAGACCCATTATGACATGGATAACCCACCCCCAAAGATAGTTCAGGGATACAAGTTCAATGTAAGGCTGCTCGTTGTCTTATAGTTGTACCAAGTAGAAATTTAAGCATGTGTTTAATACTAGCAATATGTGCAAAATTTTGCTCAGCTGTTTCCAAGCATCAGTAAAAAGAAAAGTAATGTAAAGTGGATATGTAGGTATGTACGTAAAACGTGTTACAAAGAGCGAAGGGTTATGAAAGTAAGCACCAGTCCTTTCTGTAAATGCCATAACCTCGAAGTTGGGGTAAGGCTGCCTACTAATCAATCAGAATTTGAATTTATGGCAATTTCTTTTTTCTCAGTTTGCTTGAGCCTCTTTTCTTTCCCACAAGTCCTGCTGAAAATCTGTATCCCATCCCAGAGTTGTTGAAGTTCTACTGTGCAACATCGGCAGTCCTTTTGCTTTTTGTCTGAGCTTTGACTTTTGTTTTTCATAGCTAGTAGATACGAAACAGTGCACAATGAAATGGGAACTGAAAAAGAAATAGAAGTGAGCGCTTGTGTTGTGTCCATCTTTTGCTCAGTCAGTCCCCATTTTTTTGTGTGCTGTTTTGCACGTACCAGCTATGAATTGTTAACAACTTGCCCAGTTTTCCAATCTTACTTTTGTTGTTTGTTTAGCTATGCTCCTTGCAGTGTGTATTGACCCACACATTAGTGAAGAGCATTCCTAATAATTAGATATTATTGCATTTAGCATGTAACGCTGTTTATAGCTCTTGCCTTTTTTTTGTCATTTTTCTATGCACACCATCTTCTTTTTTACAGATTTTCTACCCTGACTTGATTGACAAGAACGAGACGCCAGAATATTTTTTGGTAAGCGCTTTCCCAGGTTCAGTAGCAAACTTGTTTGTAATTTAGTATGTTAAACAGGCCGGAAACCTCAAACACGGTGTTTACCAAATGATAATTTTCTGGTAGAAGATAATCACAATATCAGCTGTGCATGGCATAAACAAGCATTACAACTAAACCTCGGTATAACGAAATGGATAAATTCCCGGAACAATTCGTTATAAAAACGATTTTTTTTATATGCAGGTTTGATACAAAACTCGGAAATTAAATGCGCAAATTAAACAAAGGGGGGACTGAAGGGAGAGCTAACCCAAAACACTTAATTTACAGTAACAAAACTGCGTTAATATTACGATAAAAATTATATTGACACTCTCGGTGGGTTTCTGCCGTCGCTGCCATGTTCCCTAACAAGGCCAAATTGATAACATGCCCCCGCGCATCGTAACTTTCTCGAGCGGGTAAAAGCGCGCGGGTAAAAGCGCGCGAACACTGCTGAAGCAGAGACCAATTAAGTCGGCCCATCTCTATCGCCTGGAAAGTGCAGAAGATAACATCTCCCGCGTGTTAGAATTGCCGTCGAATGCTCAAACAGAAAGTAAACCACTTGTCTTGAACAACCATGAAACAATGCAGTGGTGGGGGGAATCGCTTCAGTAGTAATAATGAACGTGGATTTTAAAGGCGGTCGCGATCGCTGGCGCGCTTGCTATTTCGGCGAATATCAGTGCGGTTTCAACGCAAAGGGACTGCGTGAAAAGAGCAGTTTTCCCTGGAGCGGCCGTATTTGCTCACACCAGCGTTTTGTAGAAGTTCTGCGATATCGGATCCAAAAGAGTTGGCTACCAGCCTTACTTCTTATAACATTACAATTTTTTGTATAGCGTTCATTGCATTGCATTCAATGCGCTGTCGTGTTGCCAGAACTGATCTGCTAATCGCGAAAGCTACCAGCCTGTGAACTCGCGGCCCGGCGCAAGACGGAAGGGCGTGATGAGTCGACATTCATTGTCGCCGTGGTCTCGGAGACTTTCCATGAGTGCCTAATCTGACATCCCCTCGGTGGTGACAACAGGGTTGTTTGAAATTAAGAAAAACAAAGTCTTAGTTTCGCCGCAAGGGCGAAGCAATGAATGTGATAGCAACAACTTGGAATGTAACGCTGAGAACGGCAAGCAGATCGAAACATGCAGCGTGCTGCTCATGCACAAATAAGCAAGAAAACAATACATAGAGGATAAGAGCAAACTAACAACGTTTACAGCTCGACTTTTAACGCACTGTTTAAACAAAAACGAGGCACGAAACGTAATCACAACTACAGATATGAGTGCGAACTAACATGTGTGCCAGTTGTTACTTCACTGCATTTGAAAAGCTCACTCTTTTCGTATACGGCACCTGTCCAGCGAGGGAAGTGATCTTTGTGCGCCCGGCAACTAAATGCAAGCGTACCGGTCAAAGTCGAAGGCGCGCGATTCTCCCCGCCGAAGGATAAGCGTACGGGCACAAGCATCTACACCCCTCTCCCCCCATTCGCAGTGCAAAGTACGCGTGAGAGATAAGTGCGCGTCAGGGCCAAGGAACCTCCTTGGTCTTAGCTTTTAGTTTTCATATATATATAGATACGTATACATATACGGTGAATAACGGCGGCGACGGCAGAAGACCGGACAGCCAAGTCTCATCATATAGGTAATTGCTATCGCATTAAAAAAAAGCAAACCTGAACATCGCCCGAGGCCACACCATGCACGCGCAGAGAAACAACACACGCACGCACGGCATCGAAAACGAAGAGCGATCGGACACGTACGCAGACACCGATGCCGCAGAAAACTATTGGGTAAAGCGCCCTCCATATGCAGCACAGCCCCACATATGTGATGCTAACTAAAAGCTTGGCACTGTCAATGCACAAAAATAGTTTTCTTTCTTTTTTTTTTTGTTTGGAGTGGGGAGGGGCACACTCGTGAATTCGCCCGCGTCGGCGAGAACGGTGGCAACGCCAGCTAGTGGGGTGCAAGCCTGCCTGCCAGCCTCGCACTCAACCACGAGCGATAACGAGCGCTCGCTCTCGCCTGGTGTGTCGTTCGCACTTTGCCGGGGCACCCGCGCAACATGCATGCTGGTACTAAAATGCCGAAATTTGGAGCGAATTCCTACATTGAAGTGATAGAAGTGCTGCTCCAATTTTTCCAAAGTGCTTCAAAAGAGAAATGCTGCTCCATGCTGCTCCAAAGTGCAATATTTGCTAGTAACTGCTTCAAACCTGCTTTGTAAGGATGTTGGAAAACTAAAAAGAATGAAGTTGAACCATGGGACCATCCCATGGACATAAGCGAAACCAAAAGCAGGCTGTATACACTATCATCCTAGTATGCTACTCAATGGCGTAAATCCAGAAAAATCTCAAGGGTGACACATATCAGGCCATGGGGTCCAATTCATATTTGCAATATAGGTTGTACTTTTATTTATATAAGAATTAAATTATGCTTTGAAATAAAGCTTTAAAAAACGAGCCTGGGGTCCGAGCTCGAGGAATTGCATTGTTCTATTCTCTCTTTTTTTTTTTCACATTTTTTCGATTTCCATAGTTCACACAGCTGAGGGGCATTTAACACAGGTATGCAGTAAAAGCTAAAAAGCCTTTTAAAAAGTTTATTGCGCTATACTTAATTGTTAACTCAATTATATCACGCACTGATGCTAAATCTCAAGTGGAACACTTGCAAGGGGTGTCCTCCCCAGCCTGACACCAGAAATGTCCGAACTCTCTTGACCCAACTCTTACTCTTACGCCAACTATACTGCTTGTATACTAGCTGCTTACTAGCATACGGCATGTGTAATAATAAATATAAATATTTACTAGATGCTTAAGTAATGTTTTAGACTTCAGGAGTCGTTAGGAACATGCATCTGCTCCGAAAATACCAATAGCAACCCACAAGCATTAGCATTTTTTTCTGCTCTGAGGACGCTTGAGCCTGCTCCAAAGCACCATTTTTTATGCCCCAGAATCTGCTCCAAAAAGCAAAATGTCGCTTCCATCACTGACATCGTCCCTGGGGAAAGTTCGTTATATCAAGGTTGTCTCCCATTGTTACTTTGTTACATAGAGCTCGCAAATACAGGCGCTTCTAAGGAGCAACAGCGGGGACTAGCAAAACTTCTTTATATCGAGGAATATGTTATATGGAGGTTCATTATAAGCAGGTTTAACTGTACTAGAACTGTGCCATTTTTAAGGATATGCTACAAAGCAATTCTAAATTATTCAAAATTAGTAAAGCAGTAAATATTTTAAAATAATTAAAAAAAGCTGAGGGAAAAATTTTACTACAGCAGATGACTGCAAAACTAAACTGCTATTTTCTTGCATTCAGACCAGTTTGGTGCAGAAAAACTAGTCGGAACTGGCATTGCTTTTCTTCCAAACAAATTGTAGAAGCTTTACAGTTAATGCTTCACCAAACTTGACAGACGTCGCCATAATCGATGACATCATAGTAGGTCATTACAAGAACTTTCTTCCAAACAAATTGTAGAAGCTTTACAGTTAATGCTTCACCAAACTTGACAGACGTCGCCATAATCGATGACATCATAGTAGGTCATTACAAGAACTTTGGGAAAGTTCAGCCAAAAGCCTTCCAATGTTGCCTCATTTCCGGTTTATCTGCCGTTTTCTCAGTCTGGGAGAAAGTACCCAAACAGTCGTTGCGCTTACTGTTGAAGCTTAAATATTAATCATTCTCAGATTTTTTTTATTATAATACATAGTAGTAATGATGTCACATCTGACACAAAAACACCTTCGTTACATGTAAAGATGTGTGAATAGCAAAATTTTGAGTGCGAAGGAAATTCGATTAGTAAAGTTGAGTATGAATCAAACTGAATATTTTTCGAATAGTTGTCGAACATTTGTTTAACATTTTTTGAATACTTCGAAGTGAAATTGCCAAAAAATGGTCGCGGAGAAATTCTAAGTACATTCTTATCAAATAGGAACGTGGAAGTGTTTGTTCTGGCTAGGTTGGCAAAGTGCTGGAGGGATGGTGTTATTTAGTTGTTTTATCAAAGATGAGGCAATGCAGAGACCGAGTTGATTTTATTTGCTTTATTTGGTGGAATCAAGCCAGTGTTGCAACACTTTACATGTAAAAGAAGAAGACACTACTTCTTTTACCTCTCCCCTCTTTAACATCTTTGGAGGCCCAACTGATTTGGTGGATCAGGGCGTGATCCCTTCGAATTTGGAGTTACTAATCCACCTTGTAGACATCGATGTATAAAAACATCTGAAATGTGGGATGCTGAACATCTTCGTCTGATTTTCATGGACCTTCTGGTCTGAAATGGCATTAATTGAAGCCCCACCTCCGCCGCATAGGTTTGAACCCAACGCTTTCGCGAGTCAGTCAGTTTATAGCTGTAGTAGTGCTCTGAAGGCAGCTTCGCTGCAGTATCAGACTGTGATGCAATGGAGCATATTAAAAAAAAAAAACTGAACGGGTTATTGTGACGGCACAGTATATCTCCATGTCTGAACCAGCATTTTCTTTAGTCAGTGTATTTGCGACCGTAGAGGAGTCTGAACAGCAGCTTCGCAGCAATGCGAGAGTGTGACGGGGCGAATCACATACAAAAAGCTGCAGGGCTACTGTCAAGCGAACATTCACTGTATTTGTCTTCGGGAAGTTCGAATAATGAAATTCCTAGTGCCAACTGAATCGAATAACAAGCATTATCACAAAATATTGTAAATTATGAATATTCACATCACCCCTAGTTATAAGTATATGTAATATTCAGGAGCATAGCCAGAATTGCTTTAGGGGAAGGGCTCAAATACCCTTTATGTATGTTTGTGTGTTTGTATGCATGTGTAATATATTATGTATGCATGCAAAATTGAAAATTATTGCTGTCCCCGGTGCCACTCCCCCCCTACCCCTATAACTTTGTTGTGCACTGGTATCCGTGAGATATAGTTTCATATTTAGCTCGTCTTATTGAATACTAATTCCTTATATTTATGTTCAGCACAGTGTTCATCTGTGTTCTTCTTTAGTATTCTCTCAAAGTAATCATTATGAAGCGGAGAGCAACACACTGCACTGTCAGTTTGACAACTAAGTGCACTAGTTGCTATAATCATTAAGCAGTTATTTGTGTGTCAGACTAATCATGTTCGGTGACGTGCCTACATAAACGTGCCATCTGCATTGCCACTTTCAGACCCCCATCGAAGACAACAAAGACTTCTCCGTTCTACGGTTCCATGCAGGGCCTCCATACGAGGCAAGTCAAATATTATTTTGCCTGCCAGAATGCTTTCATGAGAAGAGGGCTAGAGCTTGCATGCATGTTTGTTTCCTCTGTAGAGTTTCATAACAGGCACACTACAGGAAAATGTGGTACTACTGCCTATTGGAACTGCAAGCATGATGCTTCAGCCAGCATGGAAATGACGGGTAGGTACACGGCTTCACTTGAGCTTCAATGTTTTGGCTCCATTTGGCTTTGTGTGGCCTGCATCTGCTGTGTCACAAGACAAAGTTCAACACGAAGTCAGAAGTTCCACTTCACCACCTTGACCCTTTAGGCTGGTCCTCTTCAGATCAGCTCACGAAGTCTTTACTACTGGTCTCTTTTACCCTAACAAAAGCTAAAACACAACAAGAAACTAAGCCACATTCGAAGCCACATGCACAAAGACTAGCCAAATCCATATACTACCCATATTTCTCGTTGTGTTGAACGAATGCAGTGCCTCAGTTACCGGTTGTATATATTGTTGGAAACCTTACGGCTTGTTTCTCAAGTTGTTCTAAATATCCGGAGACAGCTGCTGCATGCTGTCTGCATCACAATAGCTCACTGTAGGACCTTTCATTGAACCAGAACTCTGTTTTGTACAAAAGGAAGTATCTATCATTATTCTGAAAATATAGGTGCTGTGTAGACTAGATGTATTTCGTCAAATGTTTGCTATTCACAAGTAGGGAGCAGTACAAGTGTTGCAGATGCTACTACTGTTGAATGGTGAGAAAATTCTAATTTACTTACTGTATTGTTACTTATTAGCCCAATTCATTAGTGTCTCTGTCTCTTGCTTTTTGTCAGGATTTTTTCTCCCCATGTCACATAGCGATTTAGTGTGTGCATCTGCTGTTTTTGATAAAGGTACTAATTGTGTGACATTATTTCTGACATGACAATGTGACATTAGCTATAATTATGTGACAAATTTTGTGTCATTGTCTGAATCTGACTGTTTCTCGTTTGTTCTGTCATTTGCAGGACATAGCCTTCAAGATTGTCAACCGCGAATGGGAGTACTCGTACAAGCGTGGATTTCGTTGCCAATTCCACAACAACATATTTCAGTTGTGGTTTCACTTCAAGCGTTATCGTTACAGACGTTGAAAAGCCACTGTATTGGGAACAATTGCTTTTGTCTATAAGATTGTATATATAAATGTATTATTAATGATTGTCCCTCTCTTGCTGACTCGTTTAAATGCAACTCCACATTGAAAACGTTGAGAACAGCTTTTAGTTGCAATAAGGCAGAGATAGTAGTTGGTGTATAAGTGTAAGATGATGCTGGCATAGTGTGGAACTGATGTCATGATGTTAAGAACAGCGGACATAGTGCGCTCTAAAAGAACAAGAAAATGAGGGATGCCATGTGGCTCAAGGATCTTTGTTCTCTTTAGGCTGGAATAAGTGGCAGCATTGAGATGTGCTGCTTGAACTTTTTCAGGCGTATTATCCTTAAACGCGGTTCATCTAGAACGATGTGTTCCGAATTTACAGTGGAGACAACAAAACAGCCCACTTTTACCATTGAAGACTAAATTTTTCCTTCCGTATTTATTTATTTATTTAGAATGCACTATATCAACGGATCAACAATATTTACAATCTGTACAGCACGCACAGCAGTGAAGGCCTGCTGGGAAATTTGTCAAGGGCATTTTCACACACACCCTCCAAATGTGCGCAGCCGTAGTAATAAGAAGCTGAAAATCAATTATGCTATCACAGCACAAGTTGCTTTCATAATTCAACATGTTGCATTTGCTACACAAACAATACTGTCAAAGAATTCAGGTTGAACAGTAAAAGCTCGTTAGTTTGAATTTGAGGGGACTGAAAAAACTGTCCAAATCGATTCAATGCCAAATCATCTGAAAGTAACAAAAAACAACAAACAAATGTCTATTACATCTATGCATTCATTTACATAAGGTATATGTAAATCGAGTAATTATTTCACATAAGAGCAGTGCAAAGGTTGGCAGTTTTCATCATTCTCTGACTTCGTTCACAGTGTGGACGCAGCAACACTCTCGTGTCATAGTTCGAAACCTGTCTTTACCCATACCTCATTTATGATTAACCCGATACAAAGAGTTAAAATGGAACAAAAAAGAATCAAAGTGCTTACTGAGTTCTATCTCTATGGCAGCTATGTGCATGCTTTTAGGTGCCACTGAAGTTTTTCATGCTAAACGATACTGTCTAAATATGTGAATAGACGACAGAAAATAGCGCAAAGAAACGACGACACAAGACGAGGACACACGGCACAGGCCCTTCCATTTCTTTGCGCTATTTTCTGTCGTCACAATGCACCAACAAGCCCAAATTTCGACAGTGTTGATGTGAATAGACGTTTCACTGCGTGCCTCTGTTGCTTGAGGCAGGTTAAAAGACTCAAGACATAGTCATGTAATTAAGTTCTTCAGGTTAGCACATGCATGCAATTTTCTCTCTCTCTTTCAGTCCGTAATTCCCTACCCCTCGCAGAGTAGGATGTGAGCGATTTGCACACGCCAGCTAAATTTTCTGCTTCTCAATAAAGAGTTCTCTCGCTCTTTCTCAACAACACAAATGCGGATGGTGACGACACCTTTCTGCAAGTATACAGCCGTTTCAGCGAAACGTTATTTTCGTTCCTGTGCACCGCACATTTGCGGCGTTTCGCACTCGGCGTGCTCCGAGGATCATCTGAAATAACCAGGTTGCAGCCAAATATGACTAAATTAATGTGTATTTGATACCATTAAAAATTCACATTCTAGCTGGGACAAGAGAACACGACTGAATTATGATTTATGATCATAGTGGAGTGTAGAATTAACGAGCTTTTACTGTATACTTACATGAGCTTTTACTGCATACTTACATGAGCTTTTACTGTATACTTACATAGCGTACTTGAACGACAACGTTATTTCGTTCCGCAAACGTTATTTTCGTTCCTGTGCACTGCACATTTGCGGCGTTTCGCACTCGCCGTGCTCAGAGGATCATCTGAAATAACCAGGTTGCAGCCAAATATGACTAAATTAATGTGTATTTGATACCATTAAAAATTCACATGCTAGCTGGGACAAGAGAACACGACTGAATTATGATTTATGATCATAGTGGAGTGTAGAATTAACGAGATTTTACTGTATACTTACATAGCGTACTTGAACGACAACAGTAGATGCTCCACTTACATGGCATAGCTTTTACATGTAACTGAAGCTTGTGACATTAAATTGTGCTAATGGCTAGTGCAGCACATAACCCGAAATTGCGTTGTGAAACAATAGAGAAACGTAGCTACCAGGGAAGACTGGGTGAAGATTAGTTTTGAGAATAAGGTGTGTGTTTGCTAACCAGATGACTCAAGGAGTAGGAGTTGCAGGAGTACTTATAGATAAACCAGCAGCATTTTGCCAGAAACGTTGGCTCATAGCAATTGCAGGTGTCAGTTATTGCAAAAGTGAAACAGAGGGCTTCTCGAATGTCTCATCAAACGCTTTCATAAATCTCTTCACACCTCTCAATCAACCTGACTAGAGGAGTTGCATTAAAGGGCAGAAGATAGTCTTTCTGAGTCATCTTCTCTAACTTGATACGTGTCCTCACAAGAGTCGCCATGGTCAGGTCAAGACGAGCGGCTTGGCCAGAGGTGTCGTGACTGCCGACAGACAGTTCACTGTGGCACTTCACAAAATTATCCCAGTCAGAGAGCACCAGTTTGAGGTATCGCACAAAGTAAAGCAAGGCACAGGTTTCCTGGGACGTCAAAAAGTCTATCAGGGTGACGTGGTCATTTCCCAGTGAGCTGAGGAACTTCAGAAACATATCGGTGTGGATCTGCAATTGATGTGGTTGCTGTCCAAGTGGACGACCTGAAACGAAGGCAAATTAGATTAATGTTAATGTAAATCTTTTGTCAAGTTGATGTCCACTATAATGTCAAACAGCACTACAAAGGGCAAGGACTGAGAAAAGGCACAGACAAGCGAAACAAAATTTAATTGTAAGTCTGCGCTTGTCTGTGCATATTTCTTGTTCTTTCTTGTTCTTTTTAGCACTGTTTGACACTAAAATTAGATGAAGTTTAAGAAGTAGTTTCCTAAAACAAACATTATTAAGATAAATGCAGGGGAAACACCAGGATTATTTTATTGAGTGGGGAGGGTTACCCACGAAAAGCAAGTTCTTTCAGGGGGCAGGGAACTAGGGCACTGTGTTTTGAATATGTTTGCTGTTAAGGGGGCAAGCAGAAATCTTCAGGGGGTAGCTTTTCCCAAAACAGTTAAATACAGCCAGACGTGTGTTACTCTACTCTACGTATCATATCTTTAGTAGCTTTGTTACTTTTCAGAAGCTTTGCTTGGGCGTATTGATTCAGCACAAACAATACACTCACTGAGGGCTAATCGAAAGAGAGAAGAGAAAAAGTGATGACGCATTTGAAACTCTAAGTTGCCACCATAATTTGGTCAGTAAACTTGGTAAACTACTTCATGGTTGCACATCAAACGGCTACAGTAAATGTAGCTGTTTGATGTAGCCATTTGCTTTCACATTAAAAAGCTGCTCACTTGTGCAAGTGTAACAGCAGCTCGCTGAGGAGGACACTCTATTAGTTGATCGTCTTGGTCGAGGAATAGCTGCATGAGACAGTCTGCATCAGGCGTACTGGCCGCTGCCCCTGTTTTCGACCGAAGCCAAGCAAGACCAGCCTCCAAGGTTTTCGATAGGCCCTCTTGCATGCCTGAATTTAACAAAGGGCCAAAATGTCAAATCAAATCGTTTGGTCAATGCATTACAAAGTACACCTCTGAATTCGTTTCGACTTCCTAATGTTCTAAACCAGAGGTACCTAAACCTAAGTGCATAAGTTTTGTTTGTTACTTGGCCCTGTTGAAGTGCAGCACATACTGCAGCCACAAATTGAACTTTCATGCCTCTGCATGGCACCAGAACAGAAAACTGAGAGCGTACAGAAAACATAAAAAGAGGGGCACACACGCACAGGTGTGTTAATAGCTGCAACTAGTACAACTGAATCTTGCGAGAGCAACTAGCCAAGAGAGTAAAACGTGCACAAAGAAAGTTTCCAAGTCTCAATCAACCCTTTTCTTAATCTATGAGTGTGCTTTCTTGCACTGCATATTTGCCGAACTACTGGTGGCACTTGCTACCTATTGTGCTTCAAGTGGAGAGGCGGTCCTAGTTGCATGCACAGGTTGGCAAACTCACTCATCAGTCTAGTCACTCAGACTCAGATCGAGCCACGAGTCTGAGCCTACTATCAGCCTTTCCTGGATGCACGTATACTTTCATCTATTCACACATATTCTGAAGCAGTATCATTCACACACCCTTTAAATAATAATTGATCAGAGGCGTATAATATGTAAGGGGTGCTTTAACTCCCCCTGGGCTACTCTACCAGGTAAGTGCTTGATATAAATATATATAAATATATCTTTCCTTGTGATCTCCATGAATAAAAATGTTCTTACTGGTTTTCAACCACTCAGGTACTGTATCAAAAGCTCCAAGAAGAGCACCGATTATGCGAGATAGTGGTGCTAAATAGCATTGGTACCATGGACAAAGCAGCTGGTTCTAGGCTCATAAGTTGATTCACTTGGACTCGCTCTAACTCGGATTGAGCAGTGAGTCTTAAGTTTAAGGGAGTCAGGGAGAAGAAAATTTCGGTAAGTCTGAGTGCGAGTCCGGCTCAGGAAAATTTTGGTGAGCCTGAGTCCGAGTGAATCAAAAGCGGAATATTCCATTATTGAGCCTGAGTGAGCTCGAGTTTTCGTCGACCTATGCTTGCATGTGCTGAGCCTGTAATGCATGACTATATGTGAAAAGAGCTGTGGCTACACTTTCCACGTCATTGCACTAGCAAGCTGTGCTTGAACTTGCTATTTGCAGTAGTGACCAACCGCAATCAGTCGGGCAAACTGCACGGCCAGATTTCAATTATGACAACGGTCTATTGTAGTAGGTGAATTGGCAAAAGCAAGTATTCAGTTAAACTTCGGAACTAACCTTGCATCAGACATGCTGCAGATGACTTCAAAATTACGAGCATTGCCAATCGAACCACCCTGCCTGTCTCCTTGAGAGAGAGACAGGTCTTGCCTGAGAAAAAACCAAAATGTTGCAGAAAAATGTATTTATAAAAAAGACACTGATTCATATTGCCTATATGCACTATCGCTGTACATAAGTTGGCTGCCTTAACTTGAATCTACACAGAAGACAAGCTCACTCTGGGTACTTGCGGCTAGGCTCCCTGCTAGTTCCTGCAAAGCCACAAAATCCATTTCGACAGTGTAACTGGTCAAGCCAGCCACCCTGAACAGCCTCAATCACTTGCTGTCCGATTAGAGGAACCCATGGTGGAACTTTGGAAAATTTGGCTTCTTCAATGACGGGCTGCAGACCCTGAAAAGCAGTTTGATATTATATCAAGTCATCAAGGTGCAGTTCTGCAGCTGGCTTGATTGCAGAAAACTTTGTTGGACTGGTAAACAGGCAACTATGCTTGTGCACTTAAAACATAAGGACACAGCAGACACCGACAAGTATTAGTTATACATAACAGAAGTGGGCAGCATGAGAGAAAGCACAAATGACACAGCTGACCTGGTCTTCCTTACTTTGTCAAGTATTTCCAGTACTGTTCTTGCCACAAGTGGATCCTTTCCAGCAGACCATTTAACAAAATACTGAGGTAGCAAGCCACCTAACACATCCATAGTGGCATGATTCTGCACCAGTTTCAGCCATAGGCATAGTGCCTGGTACAACGTGTAGTGTGGTGCTTCATTCTGAAGGCATGGGAACATGCTATGCAGGCACTTCTCAGCAGCAGACGAGATGCTGGATGAGATATCTGAAATTGCAGTACGAGCTGTTAATAAATGTTGTCACATTAGTGGCATCAGTTGTTACATTAATGGAGGAACTGATGCCTCGCCGCATTTACAAAGAATTTGTCCCATGTTTACATATCCATATACAGTCTCGTTTAATGAACCTGTCCTCTTGCTCAGATACCAGCAGTACCATAGAAGGACTGAGGTGCTTGTCTTGTCATGGGTGACCACAGAAGCAAGGGTACTGCAGCATCACCTTTGAACTGCATTAAATTTCCTGCTTCTCTGCTATATCTTTGTCTTGTGAAGGAGTATCGATATGGTTATAATTACTGAATACTTTGGATGAGAACAGTAAGGTCACTTTTTTAATAAGCAGAATTGTAGTAACTTTAACTATAACAGATCTTGCGTCTTCAATAGTTCGTTGACGTCCGCTATAGGCCAGCTAGTTTTTTTTCAGTTTCAGTTTTATTGAGCATTTTCTTCACAGAGTTGCGAAAAAGAAAACGCAAGGATAGGAGCAAAAAGCTGCTATATTAGCAGCTTGACGAGGCTCCTACCCCTTTTCACTTGGCATTACAAAATCAGCAGAGCACAAAACATGAAAAAACAATTTGACGTCGATTTTCAAAACTTCAATAAATTAGGAAATAAAAAGAAAATGCATCAAAATTACATCAGTTTCAGGTTTACATAAAATAAGCAAACCACATAGAGAGAAAAAACAACAAAAAAACAAAAGAAAACAGCGTGCGGCCAATCATGAAACAATGCAAACGTTGCTAAACGGCTACCAAAGTATTACAAAATGATTATACAACGTTTACAACACTGGGTATGCGAAAAGCACGAGTTTTAAAGCACAAGGGAAACACTGACGAGTGAAATGTTGTATGTTTTACTCGTAAAAAAAAAGCAACGAAAAAAAATGTCAAAGAAAGCAAACATTATACGATGCCATGTTACACAAGCACTATTATAGGGTGTTTCTTTTACATATAGTACTGTAGCCGGACAACTAGAAGATGCTAAACTACACGGCGCCATTTTGGATGAGAAGGTTCTTAAGTTGTTTTTTATGTATATTAAAGATGTCGATGTTTTTATTTTCAAACAAGTTAAAACAAGCTGGAATACAGTGTTCAAGTCTTCTCAAACCGTGATTAGTTCGCGAATAAGGAACAAACCAGGAAGGCCTTTTCCGAATGTCATAATAGGATTGCTTATTTTCCTGAGGTTACACAGTTTAAGAAAACAAGCATTGTTTGATAGCAAGCTTTGTTTGTATTTCATAATAAGGTTGAAACTGTGTATGTGATCGATCGGTAAAATCTTATATTCTCTGAATAAATGACTTGTATGTGCGTCGTATGGTACGTTTGCAATATGACGAATCGCTTTTTTCTGCAGTAAAAATATTTTGTTCCGATTTGCTTTAGATGTATCTGCCCACACTAGACTACAATAGTTTATGTGAGATGAAAACAACGTATTATAGAGTAAAAGTTTAATGTTTGCTGGAAGTATCTGTCGAAGTTTAGAGAGAGCACCACACGTCCTAGCTATATTTCTAGTTACTTTATTAACGTGTTCATCCCAATTAAGATTTTCATTAAAAATTACTCCTAAGGATGAAACTTCTTTGACAACCTCAATTTTTTCGGGCCCGAGATATATATCCAAACCACGACAGACAGCCTTCTGAACCGGTGCGAATACCACAGCTTTGGATTTTTTTGTGTTGATCGTTAAATAATTTGCAGTACTCCAAATGAAGATGTCGTTAAGAATGTTGTTGGCTGAGTCTGCAAGCTTACCTAAATCATTACCATGAAAAAATATACTAGTGTCATCTGCATAAATTATAAAGTCCACATATTTGCTGACACTTGTTATGTCATTTATATAAATATTAAACAGTAGGGGCCCTAATATGCTGCCCTGAGGTACACCTGACGTTATGGTTAGTAGGGAGGATTGGCTGTCATTTATAACTACAGATTGCTTTCTTTGTGATAAATAAGATTTCAGAAAGTCAAGTGGGGTTCCCCGAAAACCATAATGACGCAATTTTGCATAGAGTACTTCGTGGTTGATTCTATCGAACGCTTTGGAATAGTCAATAAAAACACCCAATGTTAACAGTTTCTTTTCAAATGAGTTAAGTATGAGTTCTTTTTGTGTGAGGAGAGCCAGTTCCGTGGACATGCCCCGTCGGAAGCCAAATTGATGCGGTGATAATATAGAGTACTTTTCACAAAAAGACATGACACGTTGATATATTATTTTCTCTAGCCCTTTAGATATAACAGGAAGTATCGAGATCGGACGATAATTAGAAAAAATATTTCGGTCACCAGATTTGTATAAGACACTAACTCTCGCATGCTTCATTTTTTCTGGGAAAACTCCCGTGGATAAGCAGATATTAAACAGATGGGTAAGAACAGATAACAAAAGATCAAGTGCTGCTTTAATAGGTCTAATTTGTAGGTCATCTATGTCCCGAGCAGTAGTGTTCTTTAGTGACATAAATACAGACAGTACTTCTTCAGGAGTTGTGTTTAAAAAATATGCAGTGCTCATGTTTGGCACACCTAGAAAGTCCCTGTAATCACTATTACAGGCACGAGAAGGGTTTGATAAATCAGAGGACACCAGTGTTGTGAAGTACACGTTAAATTTATTAGCAAGTTCTTGACCCTTTACTATCTTGTTATCTATGTTTAACTCAAGTGCGTTGTCTCGAGAGCAACTTCTATTTAGAAGCTTATTTATTTCTCGCCAAAGCACGTCGCCACGAGTGCTAACCCTCTTGAAGAGAGCTTCATAGTACGCATCCTTAGTTTTTCTCAGTTGCTTCGTTACAAAATTTCTATACCGCTTGAATTCCGAAAGATCGTTGTGGTGTCTTGTTTTCACGAATTTCGCGTACAGAAGATTTTTCTTCTTAATCATTTCCAGACATTCTCGCGTCATCCATTGTTTCCAACCTTTCTTCAGGGTTTCGACAGTTTTATATTTAAAACACTTATGGTAAGTTTTTCTTAACAGGCACATGAATATTTCATACGCCTCGTTAGCGTTAACTGATTTATAGACAGGATCCCAACAAATCTGCGCCATTTCACGCCTAAAAGTGTCTAATGTTTTGTCACTAATTTCCTGTATTTTGTATGATTCTGGAGTTGATACTTTAGTCACAATGGCCTGCTAATCACAATGGTTCAAGAGGCACACAACGTGATTGTGTGTGCTGCTTCAATCATAATACTTTAAAATAAATTTAACATTCAGACTTGTGAATGAATACACACAATACCATTCAGATTGGCGGCTTGCATGGTATTCGCCACAAGTGCAGTGCAGCTTGTTTCTGTTGTTTCTTCTGGATGAGTGCTTCTCGTGTCTGCTGTCAATAGGAACGTGATGAGCTGGCAGAAGCGAGTTTTCTCATTAACCGGAAGAGTTCCCAGAATGCAAAGGCGTTTGTTTAGTGCACAAAACAGAGCCTCCTGTAGATCCTTGCCGCATCTTGCCAACGAGTTGAGTGTGAGCAAGCAACAGTGGGCGACAAACTTGTCTGGAGACAGCATCTGCAGACTTAACTGCATGACAGAAATACAGTAATGTTATTTGATGGCTGCCAGTGTTCTGTTTTCGACATGTGTCAGAACCGACCATGTTTAATTTATACTTGGCTATATGTTTTGACAATATATGCTTAGAGGGAACGAGAGTGAACATGTGTCATATCAAGAAAAGGCGTTGGTCATATACATGCTTAGCAGTCGTGTACGCGAGTTGCGACATGCTCCTCCTATTTCTGTGAATATTCAAAGTCAGGTCACACTCGCGTTTTAATTTATCCTTTGGCAGTTTATGTGCGAATTTCCATAAAAAGTTAAGCGTAACAAAAACAAGAAACTCGGATATAGGTGACTGCATTGCCAACCTGCGCATCTCTTTCCTAGAGGGCACGAAAGAGAATCCTTACCAGGCTTCCCACGATTTCCTTTTGCACAAGAGCAACTAACGCATCCTGGATTATCGGACATATTGCTTTCGTTTGCGAGGCCTCCCGTGCGGCTTCGGACATCGCGTACAAGACAGTCAACCCAAGCAGAGTATCTTCCTGCGGCAGCTCGCCTCCTGCGAAGACGTTGACGGTTTAGGAGCGCAACGTAAGTACGAAATCTTTCATTTTGGATGCATATATGAACGCGCTTGAGTCCATGAATCCTACCTAATAAGTCGACAAATTCATGGTCCACCAATAAATGTAGTTCTTGCTTTATTTCACAGGCGCATCCTAATAGTAGACGTTCGTGCGCGTTTTGGAACCGCAGGGCCATGTCAGTTCGCATCGCTTAGCGGCATTTTCCGGGGTTGTTATGGGGGCATTCAGTGCTATGTGATCGACGCTTCATTCAGTGGCAGCTCTGGAAGATTTACCGCTGTTCAAATAACTATACGAAACATTCACTCTTTGTCGACTTCGAGCACTTTGATTTTGTCTGCTTAAACTTGAAAAAACACAGACGCGGCCATAAGTGTTTTGCGTAGTTGCCAGGTGACTTCTTCAGTTACGCTTTACGCAATTTTTTTTTGTGTGATGTTGTCGTTGCAACAGGTAGTTATGACCACATCGTGGCTATGACCCACTTATAACGGCTGGAAACCTTGCTTGCGCGATTGCGCGACGGTTATTTATCGAGAGAAGTTTTTAGAGCAGCTAGGCTGTGGTCACGTGGCCATGGCTCAGGCTCAGTTTCGGTTTCAAAGAGCACGGAGTGTTTGCGTGGACGAGCGGGCGCCGCACTGACCAAAGCAGCACACGCAAAGCCGCAGGCACGGTGGAGGAAATCGCAGATAGCGCAAGCGAAAGGCGCGTGCCAGCATCCAACCAACGTAAACTCGTGACGTAGGTTTGTTTACATTGTCCCTGCGTTGATGTCGGCGTCGCGAGGGGCTTCTCATCTCGCTCAGTCACGTGGCATGCACTTTAAAATGGATTTTATGTTCTAGACTCTAAGAAAAAACCGAGTATTTGGGGAGAACTTCTGCCGCACAACAATAATCATCAACCTTGCGTACTTTCCTCGTGTTATCACCACGGTTCCGGTATTTCGTGGTCACGATCGGCGCGTGCTTCCTGGCAGGAAAGGGGCCAGCGCCGGATTTTCAATAATAAAGGGAACGCGAGCAAGTCAGATGACGATTATTGTTGTGTAGCAAAACTACTCCCCAAATATACCATTATTCTATATGTGTAGGCTATATTTGCCCTTGATATCGCATAGATGTGGTGTATCTCCACATTAACCTATCTCGATCATTATCTCTCCTTTGAAGTTTCGTGTCAGTGCTCATTCAAGCTCGAAGTTCAAGTATGTTTTTTTCTTCTTTCTTCTTTACACCAGCAACACGCTAAAGGGTAAATCACAATTGGCCCTTCAGCGAATTAAAGCCCCATACTATCTCCCGAAGATTTACTTTTGATCTTCCAGCGTCACCAAGTCTCGACGTCTCTGTATGCTGCTATTTTGTTGTTGCCCAACGCTTTAAGGAGACCCTGAAACACTCTTCCAAGAATCGCCAGATGACTTCGTTAAAGAGCTTATTGCCTTACAAATAACCGGCCGCAAACATTTTTGCGGCCCATCAAGTATACCAGTGGAGTTCCAGGGATTTCTCTTTCCCTTCATGCCAGCGAGTGCGCTGAAAGCTACACGGGGAAGGGGCGATGACTTGCAAAACGATGATAAGTGGACAAGAACATGGGAATGAAGATGCGTCGCCTTTTAAGTGTGCTCCATTACCTTAAGCACTTTTGCCCATTTTTCTCCTAACGCGTGGCTTGCTTTCTGTGTGATAGCGAGTGCGCGCGTGCGCACGTGGCGGCATCCCGCGGCGCCGACAGTAATTATGCAGCTCATGATGCACAAATCAGCCAATGGCCACAGACTTTGTGCTAATGAAATAATCATATTTGGGCTTATGACATCATTTGCATGTCGAGAGAAAAGAGAGAACGATTCTTCACTCATCATCATCATCATCAGCCTGACTACGTCCACTGCAGAACAAAGGCCTCTCCCATGTTCCACCAGTTAACTTGGTCCTGTGCTTGCTGCTGCCAATTTATACCCACAAACTTCTTAATCTCATCTGCCCACCTAACCTTCTGCCTCCCCTTAACTCGCTTGCCTTCTCTGGGAATCCAGTTAGTTACCCTTAATGACCAGCGGTTATCCTGTATACGCGCTACATGCCCGGCCTATGTCCATTTCCTCTTCTTGATTTCAACTGTGATATCCTTAACCCCCGTTTGTTCCCTAGTCCACTCTGCTCTCTTCTTGTCTCTTAAGGTTACACCTACCATTTTTCTTTCCATTGCTCGCTGCGTCGTCCTCAATTTAAGCTGAGCCCTTTTTGTAAGTCTCAAGGTTTCTGCTCCGTGGCTAAGTGCCGGCAAGCTACAGCTGTTATACAGCTGTTATATTCAGCTGTTATATATAGAACAACTTACGGAACGCAAACCCTGGAAAACCAGCTTCCGCGACTGCTCAATAGCTTCGCAGCTAAAAACGCACCCCTTGAAACATTGACAAATAAAGAGTTGTTATCATTTTTTCTTTCATAATTCCTGTTATCTGTTTGCTCGCGATTTCTGTGCCTTAAAAGTGTACTTCCTTGTATTGTGTCTTTCATTTTTCTTTTTCTGTTATGTTATGCACATTTGGTTTTTTATTCTTGAATCCTTGCTGTTCGCCAAGTTAGGGGTCAGCAGCTCAGTCAAGCTGTTTTTTGATCCTCGGATTTTGCAGCTTTTACTGCGGGCCCCTGTCATCATGTACACAATGATGATGAAATAAACGTATATACCTTCCTCTTGAGGGATAGTGGCAATCTACCTCTCATAATTTGAGAGTGCTTGCAATATGTGCTCCACCCCATTCTTATTATTATTCTAGTCACTTCAATCTCGTGGTTCGGCTCCGCGGTTATTACCTGCCCTAAGTAGACATAGTCTTTTACAACTTGAAGTGCACTATTACCTATTTCGAAGCGCTGCTCTTTTCCGAAGTTGTTGTACATTACTTTCGTTTTCTGCAGATTAATTTTGAGACCCACCTTTCTGCTCGCTTTCTCTAACTCCGTAATTATGAGTTGCAATTCGTCCCCTGAGTTACTCAGCAATGCAATGTCATCGGCGAAGCACAGGTTACTAAGGTACTCTCCAATAACTCTTATGCCTAACTGTTCCCATCCTAGGCCTCTGAAAACCTCCTGTAAACACGCGGCAAATAGCATCGGGGAGATTGTATCCGCCTGCTTTACACCCTTCTTGATTGGTATTCTGTTGCTTTCTTTATGAAGTACTATGGTAGCAGTTGATCCCCTGTAGATTTCTTCCACAATGTTTACATATACTTCATCGACATCATGATTCCGCAGTGTCTGCATGACGGCGGATATTTCTATTGAATCAAACGCCTTCTCGTAATCTATGAAGGCTTTGTATAGTAGTTGGTTATATTCTGATCATTTCTCTATTACCTGATTTATAGTATGAATGTGGCAGATTCTTGAGTAGCCTGTTCGAAATCCTGCTTGTTTCTTTGGTTGATTGAATTCTAATGTTTTCTTTACTCTGTTAGCAATTACCTTTGTAAATAGCTTGTATACTACAGAGAGCAGGCTGATCGGCCTGTAATTCTTCAAGTCCTTTTCATCTCCTTTCTTATGTATTAAGATGATGTTAGCATTCTTGAAAGACTTCGGTATTCTTCCCGTTAGGAGACACCCCTTAAACAGGGTGGCTAGTTTTTCTAACACAATCTGTCTTCCATCTTTCAGCATATCTGATGTTACCTGATCCTCACCAGCAGCTTTGCCTCTTTGCATGCTCTCCAAAGCTTTTCTGACTTCTTCTATAATTACTGGTGGGGTGTCATCTGGGTTACTGCTAGTTATTATAGTATTGAGGTCGTGGTTGTCCCGGCTACTGTACAGATCTCTGTAAAACTCCTCCGCTATTTTAACTATCCTATCCATATTGGTGGTTATTTTGCCTTCTTTGTTCCTTTGTGCATACATCTGATTTTTTTGCCTATCCCAAGTTTCCTCTTCACTGCTTTGACGCTTCCTCCGTTTTTCAGAGCATGTTCAATTCTCTCACTTTCTGACTCGTTTTGAGAATAAGTGTGAATTCCAGACCGCATGCGGCGCTATAATGTTTGGCTCGCGTGGTCTCAGGAACCTCGGCTATCTGATAGACAGTAGACCACAGCACGGGCCGACTTTTCCGGCCCGGCCTGGCCCGAAAACGCCATGCTCCGGCCCGACCGAGCCCGGCCCACTGTTAGTAAATATCACCCGTACCAGGCCCGGGCCCGAAAGGTTTGGGCCCAGCCCGGTCAAACGAGGCGCTGTCCGAACTTCGGTTTCTGTGAAGATACCTGCTGCAAGCAAGATATCTTCTAGTGTTTAAGAACTTTTTTCTGTCTCATGACTTTCACTGGTACTTTGTACACTTTCTGTTAAATATACGCCCGTAACATTTGTGCGAAATAATTGGAGGGCATTAGAAACTATAACTGGAGTCATAGCTGTCCGTCTCACGTACTCAGTACTAACCACGCAGTCTTAATTTTGCATTTCAAAGAACGACTTTAAAAATATATAACCCGAATAAAGTGGAAAAGTGGCGAAAATTTATAGTGTGAGACTACATCAATTGCATACGTGCTGGGGCTTTTGAGCAAAAGTGTCATGTCTTTTGGAAAATCGATTTATTGTGCACTGTAATGATTTAAAAAACAACGCGAATACACTTTAGGCGGGGCAGCGTTATATAAATTAAAGCTGTCGTTTCGACTATTCGGCAGGCAACTGTCACCAACGCACACACGAGGTTCTTACGCTAAAAAAAAAAAAAGTTCTCAGACCGACTCTTCTTCCCGAGTCACCGCCACCACAGCGCCACAGATCTGTCAAAGCCAGCCAAACCTGTAGCAAGCGAGCCAACGTTCTATAGCTGTTTCCTGAAGATGCCGATCTCGTCGTCTTCGTGCAACAGTCTCCGATCTTTGAAAGTATCATGTCTGAAAGCTAGACCGGACTGAGAGCTTTCAAAACAACGCCGAAGTGAACCAGCCGGCGGCTTCTTTAGCGCTCTCCGTCGAACGGGCATGTCGGGTGTCCGGAGCGCTATCCTCCGCAGAGACCGAAAGCATAGCCTCCTAGATTTCTCTTGCCTGCCGGATTATCGGCGGTCACTTGAAAAGCGGCCGTAGTCGAAACTATAGTAGTAGCGCCACCTAAGTAGGAGTGTCTTCAAATAAGTTTTTACGCTTTGGGACTTATAAGCACCAAAAATAGCGTAAACAGTTTTTAAAAGGCATAAACATAATTATAATTAACCCTACGTAAGTGATGCTGTCATTCTGCAAGTAACTTTTTCAATACAAGGCAAAGCCTCTGAATTTGGTAGTAAACGTCAAAACTGCCAATCTTGAAGGCCAA